TCAGTGGTGGCTCTGAGGCGGCGCACTCTTGGTGCTGTCCCTGTGGCGGCGGCAGCGGAGAGCCCGGCAGCGACCTCGCGGTGGCCGCACCCGGCCCGCGGTGCCCGGCACCTCCCTGGGGCCAGCCGAGCCCCCCCGCCCCGCGCGTTGGGCCCGCCCCTCCGTCCGTTAGCGATGAGCGCGGAGCCGGGCGCCGGCAGCCGGGGCGCATCGAGCCGGCCGGTGCGGGCCGCCCGCCAGGGAGGGATGAGCCGGGCCGGGGGAGCCGCAGAGTCCCGCCCGGCCAGGTCCGCCAGCCCCCGGCCAGGAGTGGTGCCGGGGCTTCGGGCGCTGGGGGGTGTGGGCGCGGGCCTCGCCGTGGTGGAGGGCAGGAGGTGTGGAAGGATGCGGGGGGGCGGCCGCGCTGCTGTGGGTGACGGGGGTGTGAGCCCCCCTCGTGCTGTGCGAGACGGTGGAAATGGGCTGGGGTTGGATTCCTGAGACCGTGAGAAGTGGACGCGGGTGCCCCGCGCTATCCCATCTCTGGGGTTAGCGTGCGGCTGCCCTTGGGTTGCGCGCTATAGAGACGGAGGCTGTTGTGCTTCGTAAATGGAACAAACGTTGCTGGAGTCACGGTCTAAATGCTTTGTGTGGTGTCTCGTAACACCCGCCATGGCCGTAACCTGAACGGTGCGGTGGATCCTTGTCGCTAGGTGCTCTGTGTAACGAGCAGGGCCGCTCGCCGTCAGTCTTGCTGTTCCCCCCTGCGTCCTCAGGTTCTAGTGGAGGCTTTGTGGTGCTTTCCCATGGAGAAAGGAATGCGTTTAAAAACGCAGAGGCAAATCAGGTTTGGAACCACCCAGATCCTTGGAGGGAATAGGCTGCTGTAAAACTCAAAATTCCTTTCAACTCCCTTTTTAAAGTAGAAGAGATCTGAAGTACAGGATAATGTTTAAAGGGCTTTGTGGAGAGCGCATCACCTTGTTCGAGCTTATATGGCTTAAACGGTAGGAAGAAGGAATTTCTGCGTGTTGGTGGCCAGGTAGTGCGGTAGTTGGGTTTTTGGCTATCGGCAGGTAAATAATGTCAGATGAATGACTACTAGATTTCAACCTGCAGTTTTGTTTAGGGGTTAGATTATTCTTAAAGTACTTTTTTTTTCTGTTGCAATTTTAGCCTTTTTGAACCTTATTTGAAAGAAAAGAGCCCATTTTGTTAGCTTTGCATCAAAGAACTGAAGTACAGGCGGCAGATCAGCAGATCAAAAAGCTCATAGCAGACATTGAGCAAGACACGTGGGAGTTTGACTTCTTGGGTATGTAAAGCCTGAATTTACCAAGAAATTGTAATTATAGCCTTGCCACGATGACACACAGACACTGTACCTAATGTGTCAGCAGTGCCATTACAATGTGCTTTCATTTTGAGTAGTTCAATTTAGTGTAGTACAACATACCTGGCATATCTAGGAAACATGCTTTTCAGGTGTGAGAGAGCATGTCTGAACTGCTGGAGAGACAGGTGCTTCAGCAATCAGGAAGAGATCTTCAAAGATTATTATAGCTAAAACTGAGATGGCTGGTGCCAGGCAGATGTTGAAGAGGGGGGAGAAGCTCCCAGATGCACAGGGGCAGCGTAGAGCAAAGGGTTATTGAGGTGGGCAGAGGATCTGCTTTCAGGGAGACATCTTGTCTGCTTGCAATGAGCTGAACTCCTTTTTTCCCCACCTTTAAACCTCAGCTTGTCAAAGGGGAGCTCCTGCCCTGAGGAAAGTGCTCTGAATAGGAAGGGATTGAAGGCTGCAAACATGGTTTAAACTTAAACAGGGGAAGTTCAGGTTAGATATATGGAAGAAGTTACTCACTTTGAAGGTGGTGAGGCACTGGAAGAAGCTGCCCAAAGAAGTGGTGAATGCTCCGTCCCTGGCAGTGTTCACAGCCAGGTTGGACAGAGCCTTGGGTGATACAGTCTAATGTGAGGTGTCCCTGCCCATGGCAGGGGGGTTGGAACTGGATGATCTTAAGGTCCTTTCCAACCCTGACTATTCTATGATTCTATGGCATACAGCCAGCTTCCTGCCCGGAGTGTGACACTAACAGGGCACTGGGCAGTTTCTCTGCTTTTCTTCAGGCAGTGAAGAAATCCTCAAGCATGAGCTGCTCCACACTGTCGGCAGTTGCTCTAGTAGAGCTGGCTGAAAGCTGCTGTTGTGTGTTCACTGCAAGATGGGAGGTGTTCCCTTCCCCAGGTAGCGACAGCCTTGGCAATCCACACCAGGCTTTGCTGTCCATGGATGAGGGTCTGGGGTCATCCTCAATGGAGGATGGGGAGGACAGCCCTGGAGTCTACACACTGCTGATCATTTGGGGTGAGTGGGAAGGCAGAAGGTGATGGTGGTGGAGTTTAAGCCTGGGGAAGAGTGAATTGCTGTGCAGTAAACTCCTAGGCTCAGTAGCTAGGTGAGTAAAAGAGAGAGAGTCTCTCTTCTCATCATTTAAACCAACCTGGAGGCTGTTCCTGAGGGCTGGATGAGAGCACCCACCTGGCACCAGAGCGAGCTTCTCACCATGCTTTGGGAAATCTCCTCGCTGGAAGCCCTGGCCGCAGCCCAGCAGCTGGGGTGGCAGGAGAGTAGGATTCCCTTTGTATTTAGCAGTTCTTCCATCTCTACATTGACTTTAGCATGCTCAGACAAGCTGCTTTGCTTGTCTGCCTGGGGAATTGCTGGGGAAACTTTGGAGGCCTGTTTTCTTTATTTATTTTAGGTGGTGTGTGTCAAGCTTTTTGCAGTTACAAACACCAGACCTTCCCTCTGTGCAGCTGGGAGATTGTGACAGATGGAAGTTTTTGAGCTGGACACTGAGTAGGGGTTTGTTTTATTTTGAGATAAATGCTCAGGAAGGACTTTACGGAGGTGTGAGCGAGCACACAGGGAGCAGAGCATTGAAGAATTAGGTCTGCTGTGGGCAGGCTGGGTACACACTTCCCCCATCACAGACAGTCGGCCGTCAGTGGCAGCAGAAGCCGCGTTATTTTGGTTCTAGGCAGAGATTGCCAGTGCTGCTGAATTGGAAGTGGGCTCCATCACTCACCCTACTAAAGGTTCAGGGTCTTTGAGTCCTGGAGGTAGCTTTTTTGACATGGATGGGGTTCAGATTCTGGTCCAGGAGATAAAAGTACAGGTAGGTCCCATTGCCACCTCAGCCCTGCTCCCAGGAAGAGGTTGCTCAGGTGACATATCAGGAGAGCCACCGCAGGGTTGTTCTGCCTTGCTGCTGTTCTCTGTGCTGATGCAGCAGGCACAAAAGAGTCCAGCAGTGATTCATCAGGAATCCTTGGATCTTGGCTGATACCAATCAACCTTGCTGGGCTGCTAAAATAGATATGGCCAGAGCATAAAATAGCTAATAAAAACAAAATCCTCCATGGAAAATTCATTCTTCAGGGTATAAGGTTCCAGTTGCCATGCCAAAGAGAAGCTGAGAGGAGAATGAGTTGAGATTTTCTAGCTTGAAGCAGGGGAGGGGGTATTATTGATCTTGTCTCCCAGGTCTCTCCAGTCTGTTCGTTTCTCCGTTTCACTTAAAGGATTCGCATCATGGTAACTGTGATTTATTATCGGATTTCTTTTTTGATTCAACCTCTCAAAATTGTGTGCTGGCTTGAACCTGCAGCAATAAACCAGCACAGTTATTCCCTCTTATCTTCAGCATCCATGTAATGCTTTCTCTGCTGTGTGTACCTGATTCATTCTCACAGACGGGCAACAAGGTGAAATTGAGAAAGAATTGCCCTCTTTGACCAAGAGTATAGAACAGGCAGAGTTTTGACTCCATTCAGGAGCAGAGCAGAGAGGGCATGGCAGGAAGGGACACTGTGGTAGTGTCTCCACATCGGCTGAGACTCCAGACAGGTACTGTGCCACCTGTAGCCTGCAGGACCAGGCAAGGTCTTTCTAGTGCTTTGCTGTGGCAAGCTGGAGGACCCCCACATGGCAGCCTGCTGCAGGGGTTGGCCTTCAGAAGTAAGTGAAGAGGATGTGTGGGTCCCAGCAAGGGTGGAAGACACAAACCGTTAGGCAGGGCTAGATGAGGAGCCTGGGTCTAGCCCTGAGCAGGAATTGATGAATAAATTGTGTCATACCTGGCGTAGCCTTGAGAGATCCCAAGGAGAGCTTTGACTCATAATGTATAGGACTAAGCTGGGCAGGTATGCGTCCATCGTTATGTTGGCGTGCGTGCGTGGAGGCTGGAGGGGCTTGTGGTACTTGAGCCACAATGTACTCATTACTTAGAGTAGTCATCTCTCTGTTTAGACAAGCCTAAAATCAGGGGTTGCACTATTGTCGTGCCAGAAGTGCGAGGGCTGCTCTTCATTAGTTTCTCTCAGCACATGAAGGCTTCTCTAAAATCAAGCCATAGAGCTGTGGTATTTGCGTGGACTTGCTTCTCCCATGGTGGAAGTGCTGAGATCACCATCAAAAATGCCCCCTGCAGGAGGAGAGAGGGGACCTTCTTCCTGTATTTTGATACTTGTTAGGCAATACTTAAACATCTCTCCTGAATTCTTTAAATGAAAGAGTCAGACTCAAACCTGGGAGTAGCTGTGTTGGTATTTAGGCTGTAGCCTACTCCCACTGGAGTCGAGCGTGACAAGATTTTTAAGGGATTTGGGTGCAGCAGAAGCATTTCTCTTGTAGTCCCAGTTTACTCAGATTCTCCTGGCAGCCTTTTGAATGCTGCCACTGATCCAGGAAGCCCCTGCTGCTTCAGAAAAGTAGCTTTTCATGTGTATATTGCTGGTTTATCCCCTCCAAAATCCATCTGGAGCAGCAAAACACTCCCCAGGGTTAGTGAATCACTGAGTCAGTGACGTGAGACCAGCGGACCCCAGGTCATGAAAGCAAAGCTTGGTGTTGAAGCAGGGGATTGAACTTGCCTTGTTACCCACTCATTTTAGCAAGTCACCCATCCCCAGTGTGGTGGGAGGGTGTGGAGGAGTGCCAAAGTTACAGTATTTAACAGGCTTTTAATGTTTTCCACTCTAGCAAGCTCAGGGTTGCATCACAGCATTGTTCTCCAAAGAAGATGGATAAAGCAAAGAAGGATTTGATGAGTTCTCTGGGTGGGAGCCCCAGGCCTCCGGATACCAAGCGGGAGGCTTCATGCCTAGACTGCAGAGCAGGAACAAGTTTGTTGGTTTCTGATAGCTGCAAACGGGGGCCAAGGAAATACTTAGCATTTAGACAAAAGAGGTATTCTGCTGAAGTTCTCACTCCAGCAGCCTCCAACATCTCAAGGGTAAGTGCAAAGAGCAATTCTTTTCCTACCATTGTCCTTCTAAAGTGGAAAGACCTATAGCACACCTGGTATAGAGGAATACAGTTTTCACCCGAGGTCCTGGCCCTTCGTTTTGGTCAGAGGCCTTTGTGCAAGACCTTGACTCTTGCAAAGTGAAGCCATAAGTCCATTCATGACGGTAGTTGTGCTGCCTTCTTCAGTGGCCCATGCTATTGCTGTCGTGATGTTACCCAGGTTTAGGATGCCAGCATGGCAGGGCAGGCATGTGGTTATGACTGCAGATGATATTTGGAAGTAAAACCCTAATGACTGCCTGCCCCAGTCCACATCTTAAGCTGATATCTCTGCTGACAAAACCCCTGCCTCTTGGTGTGTTGGGCTGAAGTTTCAGCTGTTTGTGTCTCTTTGAGACTTTTCTGACCATTACTCACAGTCTCAATTATCCCTAAAGCTCTGGTAAAGTCAATTTTATAGTCTCACTGTCTCTCTGGACCTCTTTAACGCACCCTCTGACTGTGCTTTGTTACCTTTGACACTTCCCTTACAGGCTGCATTTCAGGATGTTTGTGCTGGCCCCCAAATACACCATGCTTTGCTAAAAGAGGCGGACCTCGAGCAGCACACCCCTAAAGGTAAATATCCTGAGAGGAAATGTGATGTGGCAGGAAATGGAGCCATAACTCTTAAGGCTGGCCATAATGAGTATGCTGGGAGCTAGGCTGATGACTAAATTAGTGCTTTGCTTTCCTTCTCCTCTCGGTGCCCAGGAATGGTACTTAGCTGCGTGAATGTCTCTGAAAAGTGAATTTAGAGGCGGAGCAAAGTGATCTGACTGGGTGGTAAAACCATGCTTGCATTTTTCCTGCATATATGCACTTCCCCCAGGCTTCAGGGTGGACCATGTTGCTGCCTACGGGCATTACGGTCTTACGGGCTGTATGCCAGGAGAGCACTCCAGTTCTATGTGTTGTCATTGCATATGGAGCCATCAGTGCCCTTTCCTGTTAAATTGGGACCTGCATGTGAGAGTTATATTCGGAGTTTAGGTGCCCATAGCCAAAATCATGGTACTCTCTCATTTATTCATTCTCCTTCCAATTGCACCCTGCAACAGCTGAGTCTCTAGATGCAAGGGGTTTCTGTGTATACAGAGCTGCTGGTCCCACCTGCTTACGAGAGCTTGTATCATGGATGCTCAAAAATAGGAAAACAAAAGTTTGCCAGCATTCTCCTGGCCCCTTGAACACTCTTGGGTATATGGATCATAAGCTGGCAGCAGGTGGGGAGAAAGCATACATGTGAGAGGATTTTAGTCTTTGAGAAAGATGGTAACTATATTTACCACCTTCCTGTGCATGGAAGTGACATTTGTTTTCATGAGTGAGGACAAATGACTGCATCCTCAAGTGAATCTTGACAAGCTTAGACTCATCCCTAACAAGTGGAGACAGATCTCTATTTATGATCTGCTGCTCCTTCAAGGGGGAAGAAGCTATCAAGCTGAAATGTAAATGCAAATGAAACACTAAGTATTGACATAAATAGTTGATAGTGCACAAAGAGCCATAATGGATGGAGGTGACAAAATCGAAACAGCTGTGCTCCCTGACAACAAATATTAATCAGGGTCATTCTGTGAAGACCCTAAGCAAGAGATATGTATGAAGCTAAGGACCTGCATTTTAGGAATTCCTTGACCTTGTTGTAAATGGTACATATTGGGATGGACAATGCAAGTGTTTGGATCATATTTGTTGCAAGCTAGGCACCCTTTCTAAGAGGGATGAGTAGAGAGGAGCCAGTTCAGAGGCCATTTCCATTACTCCTTAAGCAGACAAAGTACAGCTACAAGGGTTGAGTCAGGGACCATTTAGAAGGGTAAAGGGAATGACCTCTTAGAGGACCCTTTCTGTACCTGATCATCCTGAAATGTATCTGGCTTCAGTATAATTGGCTGCTCTGCACAACTGCTTTGAAATCAAGGGGTTGCACCATGCAAGCAGAAGCACATGGAGCAGAGTGAAGGATCTGGTCCAAAGCTTGACCTCCAGAAAACCTGCTTACGAGCCAGAGTCTTAAGTTTATCCTCAGTAGAGTGTGAAAGTTCATCAAATGGAAAGCTCCCCGCTAAAATCTATTTTTAGGTCAATGCTTAGCTCTGTCTAGGGAATAGTGCTTTTTAAAGCTTGCATGCAATTACTTAATTTAGGTTAAGCTTCAAATTCCCAGTTTGCTGCTGTTCTATTATTTGCAGCTTGTTTAGCAATATGAACAGTTTGGTTTATTTATGGGGTAAATGACATGGTTTGGTTTCAGCCAACTCTTGGAAATGTATACTTTCTGCTTAGTCCAATTTCCATTGAAAACATTTGGCCGAATCGTGAGATTGGTGGCTGTTCAACTCAGTTTTTTCTCACACCACTGCAGATGTGAGTGGGAGGTTTGCTTGAGCAGAAACTGAGGGGAGGTTAGTCCCAAGTAAGGTGTGAATAGGGACTTCAGCACCTAAAAATGACCTGAGCAGCTTGTTCTCTCCTGCAGCATTCCTTTACCACCATTTTAAATGAGTTCCTCCCAGCTAGAACTGACTCTTGGTCTCAGGCCCCCCCAGAGCACAGGGGGAATCCCACCCCTTTCTGAGAGGGAGGGAAGCCATGCACTGTAGACAGTAACTTGCCCACGATCTTGTAGAGAGTCTGTAGCAAAGCTGGGACCAGAACAGAGCTCCTTAGAGCCAGGTCAGTGCCCTACCTCCTAAGAAGGTGCATCACAGTAATTCTCAGTGGAGGCTTTTTCTATGCCATCACTTTGATACTGGAAAACGGTAAGGACGTGTTGTAGTGGGGAAAAAAGGTCTTCCTTTCTGTTTCCCCTTTGATACCTACTTGACTTCTGTCATAAACTTGGTGAAATGACTTCTGCAGACAAGCCAGGAGACAGCACAGTTCTCTTGTGTGTGTGAATGTAAAGCAGGGTTGGTGGTTTCACATGTGTGTTTCTCTGTCTCTTAGTCACAACCTTCAGGATGCCTGAGGATCTTGGAAGTGTGCTGGATAAGCAAGTGATGGGACCAACCACTGAGAACCTCACCAACTCAGATTTCCCAGTACAATCATATAACCCCAAAGTGCAGGTTCCTTACCAAGTGCTTCCAGGGCAGTGCCCTCGGAGCATTTACATAGAGAGGTAGGTAACCAGAAAGTAGCCGGAGACATCTTTATGGAATGAACAGAGCAGATTAGGGTGTTAATTTCTGCTTTCAAGACTTGACATGTCAAAAATCTTTAGGAAAATACTGTCCTGCAAGGCAGTGGTCTCCGAAGTGGGGGATGTGCATTGCAGGGGGTGCACAAGACAATTCATTGGGATGCAGGAAGAAAATATATTTTTAAAGAGTGTTTATTTTATCCTTTTCTCATAGTTTTTAATTTCTGTTTTGCTGTATGCTCTAGATTATAAATACTGGCATAGTGTATATATGTGTATAGAATTTATAAATTGGACTAGATGTTCATTATAGGTATTTATTCTATAAGTGAAGGTAGAAATAGCCATGTATGCAGCTCCATGTGTTCAAAAACTTCCTTACTGGTAGGGATACATGATCTGAAAGTGGAGTTGTAGCTTGTGAGCCCTTCTGGGTGCATTAAGTGGTTATTTCCCATTCCGATTCAAAACAGGAGGAGACGGCTATATCTCAGCTTCGATATTGCACAGCTTTTATCCAGCAAGGGGATAGACTCCAATCAGCTCATGCCAAGGCACCATGATCCTGACAATATGCCAACAACTGAGGATAAGAAAGATCCTCTCTTTCCCATCTACCTCCCGTTAAAGGTAAGAGAGCACATTTGGCACTTGTGATGTATCTCATTGCTGATACCAGAGGATGGTTCAGACAGTTGCAGGACGCTTGGCCTTTATTGATACAACAGGCAATACAACAAGGAAATGCTTTAGAGCAGGCTTGTGCCCTGAAGAATCTCCACAAGATGCTGAGCGTCTTCTGCAGGGGGCCCGCAACTTCCATCAGAACTGATAATTCTTGAGGGTGCTCCTCACTGTCATTTGTGTGTCCGAAGAAAAGGTGGTGTTTCATGCTTCCTTCTGAATGGAGGAGTCAGCAGTATTATTGCACGAGATCTCTGCAGGTGGTGAGGGTCTTTCCTGGGATCTGTGCTTCCTAGGAAAGGGCTAGAGGTACAGGTACTGTTGCCTGGGAGAAGACTGAGATGAGCACAGCTTTTGCACTGGGACTCTTTCCCATTTTTATAGCCATTTAGGACCTGGGTGTTAATTTTCCTCTCAGAACATTTTGTATGGGGTATTTTCTTCTCTCTGAAGTAAGACTTAATTTCACTCGTGTCCTGGCTTTTTAGATATTTGATGATGAGGAGTATGACTGTCGAACTCCAGAGGAGTGGATCTCACTAGGACTGGAACCAGGATCTCATGATAGAAAGCCAGTGCCTGGACAAGCACTTTTACCTACAGATGATGTTCTTGGACACGGTAAAGCTTGAATGACTTGGTGCTCAAGTGAGACAATGTTAACGGTTTCAGGCCTGTTCAGGAAAGGGAGCACTTAGATTCTGATGCATTTAGCTCTGAATAGCAGAAAGCAATACTTCATCTTGACCAGGCTCAGGCAGTCAGAGCAAGGGATCAGAGGTCTCATCAACTCTCAGTCCTTCCCAGGACTGACTGCTTCCATATTTTTAGTACTAGCTTCTGCCTTTTGCCCTCCTGCTTCTGTGCCTGGAAATCAGTACAGTCAAAATTTCACTTTATTGGTGTGTAGATATCATCATAAAGTTGGTTAACTTACATGCAGTGTGTTCTGCCTGGATTCACTGCAAGGGCAGGATCAGAAGTCAAGTTCAGACAGCAGTGAAAATCCAAGTAGTAAATCTGAGGCAAATTAAGTGATGTGGACATTGTTTTCCTGTCACTCAGAGCTTTCCCAATGAGAAGGCATCACTAGGTACAGCTGTACTAATGTCCAGTTATGGCTGCAGCTGATATCATCACAAATGCACTAGCTTTAAAGCATAGGAACTGGCATGCATATTAACTACAGCTCTGGAGCAACCTCCAGAGGCAGGGCTGTCTGCAAAATCTAAGCGTAAAACAGAAGCTGTGTGGAATCTCAGCCAGCCAGCATGTGATGGCTGAGTGCAGCTTGCAGCTGTAGTCAGACCCCTGGGCCCGGAGGAAGGTGAGACCGCTGATGTCTGTATAGTGCCAGTGTTGTTGCAAATTCCTGTAGTCCAGTGGTTAATAGCATCCCTTCTCAACCTCAATGTAACACTATCCTGACCTGTATCTATATTGATCTCGATATATATCTGTCAGGTTAGCGCCTCCCAACTTTTAAGAGGATCTGAATATTCAAGAATTAGATGCCCTGGGAATAACCTGGAGAAGTAATAGATTGGAGGAGAACATACAGGGTTTTACACCCACTCCCAATGAGAGCTTGTGGAGACACAGGGCTAGACAACCCATGGGGAAGGGGAATGGGATCACCACAGAGCCCATGTGGGTCATAAGGGGTCCTGGATCAAGGGTTGAAGGAATTGGGAAGCAGAGAGGTCCCCAAGTATGGCTGAAAGAAGATGTTAGGGGCACACAGGACCCAAATATGAGGCTATAGCTGGAAAGAGTGAGTGGGAGTGCCTGAAGCAGGAGGTGGGAAGGTGGTCCACAAGGAGCCCACAGAGATAAGAGGAGGAAAACAAAGGGCTCTGGTGTGTGCAAACAGTTGGAAATGGTAAGCTGTAGGATCTGAGTTTGTTCTTTACTTGATCGCAGCAGAAATCACGAGAGATTGACTGAGATTCAAACTAGTAAATGTAGCATCACCACTCTGATCAGGGAAGTCCTTTTGCTGTAGCCCCCTAGGAGAATGGACTAAGCCTGTTTTAATCCTTGATTCGCTCAGAGGACCCTAAAAACCCAAAATTGATCTACCAGTGGATTGATGTTGGTGTTCTGGATTACGACAAGAAGACAGAGCTCTACTTGGTCCGTAAAACCAAGAATGGAGTGGTGTGGAATGAGGAAGGGAGACCCATCCTCAATGGAGAAGTAACTTCAGAAGGTGTGTTTTGAGTAGGGCCCTTTGGGACCTGGCATATACTCTGAAGTGCACAATCTTAGGTGGGGATGGGAGGGACATCAAGACCTCATTTTATTTCCTTTCCCTGTTACCACTCTTGATACATGTCTGCTCAACCTGTCCAGAAAAAACTTCCAGGGGAGAGAACTCCACACCTTAATTTGACAACCTATTTGAGGTCTTCCCTTTGGAGGTATCTTTCTTTTTTCTCTGTCTCCCATCTTTTCTGCCTGCAAGAACAGTTAAATGATGGTCTTTCTAGGCCAATACCATCTTGAAGGGGAACATGGACAGATTAAGATGAAGTACCCCCTTGAAATGTTTGGAGGTACTGCTAATTCTGTGCTCCTTGCCTCTTGCTGTCTTCAACTTTGGCCCCTCAGTTTGATCTCCAGTAAGCCAGCCCAATTACATTGCCCATCAAAAAGCTGCTGTCTGAAATCCAAACCATTCTGAGTTTTGTTTTCCCTGTAGACTCCTGTAAGGTTTGCGTTCATTTCCCAGGAAGAGCCCCACTGTTGCCATGTCAGTACTGGGTGCCACGTGTTTGCCTGTTGTTTCTGGCTGAAGATCCTCGGGTGTTTGCACAGAGAGTAGTTTCTGCTGACAACTTGCGTAAGAAGACGCAGGCGCTGCTTCTCTATAACTTGTATGTGGACTGCATGCCCACGGATGGTCTAAATAGCATCAGTGAGGAGAGTCTGCAGAGAATGAAGTTTTTGGCTATGAACACTCCCGAACTGAGGAAAGCAGAGAAGAGGTAAGGTATCAAGTACATGTCTGGAATCTCAGCCTTCAGTCCATTAACGCTGTAGGACTTTATAGGGCTACAAACAAGTGGCAGTGGAGGCAAATCTTGAGGGTCCAGCTCATAGACCGTGGATCTCATCTGCCTTCCAGCCTGTGCACATGCACACCCCCCTCTTGCCCAGAGTGTCATCAGAAGTAGGTATGACAAGAGCTCCCGGAGCACATGTACAGGGGGGTGATCTGCCAGTATTCCCAGGTGAAGTAGATGTATTTTTCATATGCAGATCCACGAGCCGTGCTTAGACCTGCAATTAAGTGGCATTCAACAGCAGGAAGGTTGGACAGAAATGGCATAGTTGACCTTGCTGTCTCCCTGTGCTTCCAGGGAACAGATCAGTCATTGCTGGATTGATCTGCAGACCACCAGCTGTCCCCAGAGAGTTGGCTGTGGTGACTCTTCTGTCTATTAATAGCTGCTAAAACAAATCAAAAGATGATCTGCACAGGGTGAAGCAGATAGAATAGGATATTTCCACCTGGATATAATCGAGCGTCTCTTTAAGATGCAGCTCGTATCAGGAAGATGTTTTAAGAGTCTCTGCACTGATGAATCATGAGCCGTTGGTGGTGTCACTGGGAATCAGCCATGACTGATTGCCCTGCTCAGAGACAGGAAGGTGTGAAGGGCTGAATGGTCTGCCAGCCTAAGCTAGAGACTAGGAGAGTAATCAGTCTCTGAGCAGAAATATAGGCTTAGAGAAGTGTACTGTGCTTGAGGCGGAGTATGATGATTTCCTTTATTTGCTTTTCCTACAAATAAAGCAGGTTTTCAGCACTTACACACGTGTTCTGGCTGACGAAACCGATGTCAAGGGGTGTTCAGCAAGAGGCAGTTGGGAGGACAGTTTGGGTAGCCCAGCTTTTCCAGAACTACCAGCTAGCTTCCCCAGTTCTTGCTGATTTCCCCTTGCCATTGTAATGCTTCTCCCCAGTGGAGATTTTGCTTTGAGTAGAAAAGGCACTTGAGAAGGCTGCAGTCATAGTTCTCAGGTTCCCACTCGCCTCTGCCATTACATGTCTAGTTGATAGCTTTGCTGGCTGCTTCATCGTCTGCATAGCTCTCCTAATGCATTCAGTAGTAGGTGAGCTTCAGGGTTAGCAGATCCAGGAGGGAGGGAGTGAAGGATGGGGTTTGCAGTAAAGCTCCAGACGTACTTCTGCTCAGACACCTTGAGTTATCATTGTTTCCATGTCTTGTAATAGGATATTAGACCATATGTGTTGCCTGGAGAAAGAAGTGAGATTAGACTATGAACGTACCCTGAACAAGATTAGTTTTGACAGAACTGTCGCTTCCAAACCTGAGGTGTTTTCTTATGTCACCTTGCCAGACAAAGAGGAGGAAAAAGTACCAGAGAAAGGTATGGAACACAGTGAAGCAGCTGGAATTCAGCATGGCTATGGGGACCTCTTGTCTTTGATAGGATTCACATTTTGTTCTAGAAACTTTTAGGTTCATGTTAATGGCTAGGGCTCATAAGGGGCTGTGTCAGGTGATTAGATGAGACTTGAGTATGTCTGCTCTTTTTTAGGGTATATTTACATGTTTGTGTTACCTCAGTATAACACATTATCATCTGTCAGCAAATCTGCAGTAACTCTGCAGGTGTGCCCTTAATGGCACCAAATGCAGGCAGTGTAATTAGCTTAACTGCCTTCTGCTCTGCACTGTGCTTGGGCTGGCTCAGCTGTGCCATACCTCAGATGTGGAAGAGAGCTCAGGCTTTTCCAGAGTCTCAAACTGGAGGATAATGGCCACAGTAAAATGTGAGGGGTTGGGGTGGTATTTTGTGCACTTCACGACCCCCAAGGTTGGATAGCCTTGAGGCGGTCCCCAGGAAGCCTCTCACAGCCGAGATGGCTCGGCTCTGCCTTGAAGCCTCGGTGGAATGATTCTTCAAATCCTGTGATCTTTTTCATGGCCAAAGCCGTAGGAAGGTCAGGACCCAAGGCAGTCCCTCAGCCCCCATGGGAGCCTGCAGAAAGTGTCTGCTGCAGAGCAGAGACTCGCTTTCCCTCAGCTATCTGCTGAAGCTGCTACCTGATAAGGCCTATGCATCAAAGGAGAGCCCTTTTCCCAAGCACTGTCCCAAAGGGAGCTGTACTCTTCCACCTAAACAGAAGCTGGGATGGCTGTTGCAGGCAGTAATGTTCTTTCTCGGTGCCAGGGCTCATCTGTATCCCAGACTATCCTTTTAAGAAACAAAAGGAAGACTTCAACTTTGTCTCACTCCTGAAGAGGCCAGAAGTCATCCTTCTCCTTCCAGAGGTGCAAGATGAGTGTGACAAGGTAGCCATCATGTCTCTGTTTAACACAGCCTTGGCCAAGTGTGTTTGCTTGGAGGAATTTGAACAGATCCAGACCCAGACCTTCACTGAGGTGAGCAGAGGAAGCGTGGGGGGTGAGCACATGGAGCAGCCAGCAGGGCCATCAGTGTGTATTAGGCAGATGTAGCAGCTGCAGAGCAATTCCCTGGATGGAAATGGATGAGCTTTCAAATGAGATACAGTGGGTGGAGCAGCGAGAACTTTGCATATGTGTGTCAAATTCATTGGGATGTGGGCAGTAATGAGCTTTCCTCCTCCTGTTTCCATGCAGCTCACAGTCCTGGTGAGCACTCAAAAGTTTCCTTTTTGGTTTTGTTTTAATTTCTCTCTGTCCAGCTGCAAGTCACAAGAGCTTTGATCTCCCCTGAAGCACTCACGGGGGTAATGCATTTCTACACCCTGTGTTCTTTACGTATTTAGTTACTCCGCTTGCAATGACAGCAAGCAGACTAGAACAAAAATCTGCAACTTTGTGCTAACTCTCAGCAGATCTTTCTGCTCTCTGGATGAGGACAGTCCATTGCACCCTGGAGGTGGCCACACAGAGGAGCTTGCACAGGGTTGCACACTAAATCAGTGGCAGAGGGCATGAGCTGGTCCTTCCCAGTCCCATGCTGCTATAGCTGGGCAGTGCTGTCATCCGCTTGGTGACTGAGGTTGTTCTATTAGCCACAAACAGCAGCTGCCTGTGGAGCAGAAGTGGTATTTTTATAAATTAAAACACTGCAGACTGCTGCTGCCCTTGGCTTCTCCCCCTCTTTCTCCTCACTTGTCAAGAGGAGACCATATTCTGTCCTTTCCTTGCTCATCATACTGTCTGCCCACCTTTTGTAAAGGGACCCTGACACAGGCAGCTCCGGGGATACTGCTCTGTAGAAAAGAGAACAAAAAGGAAACACTGTGCATAAAAAGAAAGAATAGAGCACTCCTGCTTTTTAATATCAGGTGCTTTTTTTGTAGGTCTTTTGTCAGTGGAGGAGTTGCATGCTCAGGTTCAGATGCCACATTTGTGTGCATGGATTTGAAAGCTACTGTTTAGCTGCCCCAGCTCTGAAAGAACGGTTGCCTTTCAGAGCAGAGAAAGGTCCAGCAGCCCCAGCTAGCAGCTAACCTTGCGATACTGCTTTCCCATCATCCCTGGGGGATTACACAGCTTGCTTTTTTCTCTGCCCTAGGTTCAGATGTTTCTCAAGGATACTTGGATTGATACTCTAACGACTGCAATAACGAGCAACTTGAAAGAAGCAGGCACAGACTGGTACAGACTGGAACAGACCAACTGGGATGTCTACCTGGTGTCCAAACTGCGTAAGCTGATGAACCGCATCAGATTCATGCTTCAGGACTCTCTGAGGTCTCTGGTCCAGAACTCACTGATCAGCTTCACCCAACTTGTGCTGGATGCTTGCCATGCTGTCCTGAATTGCTCACAGGACATGAAATGGGGAGATGACCTCATCAATAGTCCCTACAGGTAAGGAAGGGAGAGAAAAAAGGGGTGGAAAGAACAGAGCCGTTGTCTTTCTGACTAGTGTTTGTACAAGCAAGCTTTCTACTGTGAGGGGACCTTAGGCTGGGCCCTTTCATCCAGTTCTCAACCTGACACATTTGGTTGAGTGTGGAAGATGGCACTGAGCTGGCTGCTCTGTTAGTACAGATAGCAAGTTGCTGTTAGTGATACAGGCAGCCCCTCGGAACCAAGGTCTGCTACTTTGACATAGTGTGTTGAAGATCAGCCACTTCCAGCTTTTGCAGAGGAGCAAATAATTACTAGTAGCTTTTTTTTTCTCCTGGAGGCCAGGAAAAATACCAGGAGGCATTGCTGCTGCTTTTAGGAGTAGCATCTAGCCTGTTTCAGGAGTAGGATCTAGCCTGACATCTCTAAAGAATACCAGATTTGGGTTGTCACAGTGCCTAGAATTCTGTTCCACCGAGTATCGATTTAAGATTTCTGTTCTTTAGGGTATGAAAAAAGGAAAGTTTAGAAATTGAAAACAGGAAGAATAGGTAAAAAGCTGCCACTCACATGAGAGCTCTTACCTTGAAATCTGTGGAAGTCTTGACACTGACTTCAGCTGATCCTGAGCCACACTGGTAATGTACCAGATTGGGAGATACTGTGTCTAACTTCTAGAAGGTGCATTTTAGGAGTAGATTTGAAATGCTGGATGCTTGGTTTGAAGAGCATCTGCATTTTTTTTTTTCTATAAAGCAGCTCCAATTCTCAGGATAAGGCTATGACTTTTGGGGGTCTTAGTATGTCATGATTGACACTTCCTTTGCCTTTCAGAGACAAAAGTTCTAAATGTCTTTGCTGGTAAATTCAGAATGCAGTGCTTCATGCCTTAATCTGCATGGGACAGTCTACCTCTTCTCTGCTTTCCTGTCCAGTAGGCATTTTAGTATCAGCACCAGAGCAATATAATTGTGTGCCATTGTCTCACAAAACATCCCTCTTCTTCCTTGTCTCTTCCCACTGCAGGCCTCTGAGGTACCCACTTTTTCTAACAGACCTTGTGCTAGACACCAGTGGCATTCACTTCAGCCCCCCTGCGGAGAGCTTTGAGAAGTCCCTCATTTCTCTGTTTGATGAGGGAATCCTGGCAACACGCACTGTCCCACAGCTGGAGAAGGTGAACAGCATCCCCGGTGATACAGTTGTGCAAGCTTCAGTGCATTGCAGTTTGGCATAGACACCCCTGAGCTTGTACTGAAGGAGGGAGTTGTAGAAGTAGATAGTTGGAAATCCAGTTAAGTTAATTTGGGCTCAGCACTGTGCTAATGCTGTTCTCTTCTGACAGGATTTCTGCAAGCTCCCCAGCTCTGTAGCTATTTTAAGTGGTTGCAATCTCTGTTTTGGTGCTGCAGGTTCTGTGGAGGCATGTCCTAAGTAGCCTGGTTACCCTAATGAATGGCAGCTGGTAAAAGCAGATTCATAAAGGAAATAGCACTTTTTCCAATGCTGTCAGTCTGGTGCAGATCTCTTCTGCATGTGCATCCTGCCTGTTACTGTGGAAGACCCATCTCCCTAGAGCCTCCTTTTTTAGTGGGGGCAACTTAAAGCTAATAAAACAATTCCTGACACAGTGCAGAAAGACTGCATGAGCTCCCAAAGGTGCCATGGGTGATTGCCTCACCCCTTGCAGGCATGGTTATCTCTCCTGGTCATGAAAGATCTCTCTCCTTCCTCTTCCAGTATGTGCTGGAGAATGTAGCTATCACAGGCACACCTTTGCTTGACTCAGTGGGCTTGCACGAACCAGAAGTGGAAAAACTACGTGAGACTATGCGCTCTGCCATTCAGATGGCAATGATCCCTCTCCATGCCTATGCCAAGAGATACGAGAAGTTCTTGGAGCTAAATAACAATGACATCCAGTACTTGCTAAGGTAAGCGGCTTCTGACAAAGGTACCTCTAATCCAAATGGAAGCCTTTTCAGAAGCTGTTGTGTGAATGGGCATGAGAATGTGGGACTTGTTCTGAGACCATGAATGTGTGTGACGTGCCTCAGATACGAGATGAGGCATCTATGAGAGGCAGACTTCAGCCATGGGCAGTGGCCCATGCTTTTAGGGGACATTGGTGATGGCAGTGAGAATTTCTTCCTGCTTCTGACAGCAGTCACGTTCCTGTCATGTTTGCAAGTGTAATTGGAGATATTAATGGCCCTAAAAATGACTCATCCTGTTTGAAAATACAGTTGGCATACTTGACTCTGACCTCCTTCAAATAGCGTCTGTTCAGGCTGACAACATTCTGTGGAAAGTAATGTTTTCTTTTGTTTCAGCCTCATTGTTTTCACTGCCAAAACTCTCTGCACCTATGCTGCCTCTGTTACTTGAATGGTCTTCTTTTTAGGCCTCTTGTTTTCTACAAACAGGGGAAATTAAGCCCTTTTTTGTTATTTGGGCTTATTTTAGGAGTCCTATCTGATAAATTCCTGTCTCTTCCCAGAGCACACAGAAGTGCCTGCCTTCCACCAGGATGCCTCCTGATCTTGCCCTGTTTATACCCATGCTTTCATTTTGTCTCTCCCCTTCCTCTTGTCTTACTACCTTTTTCATCTCTTCTGTTGTTTTTCTGCAGCTAAAATATTTTGTGCTCTTACTCCACTCCAAACCTATTGTGCTTTAAAACCTGTTGTAGATTTGAGTCTGTCCCTTCCCTTGCACCCTAATAGTGTTTCTCTGCTACATACCAGTTCCATGTCATCTTGTATACACATCTTCTGGAACTGGGGACTTGCCTGTGCTGCTGCATGGGTGTAGCTGCAGTTCAGGTAGGCATAGGTAGCTTGGATTCCTCTGGTCGGCATTGGTAACTGTAGCAGTGGAGACACTGAAGCAAAGCCTTCAGTGCAGGCTGGTCACCTAAATGGGTGGACTTTACATGGAATGTTTTTACTACTGTAGCTTTTCATGCTCTGTTAAAGGTAGAGCTCATGTACTTGACAGATACACTTCCTATGTAGGTGTATCTTTGGTTGCAGAGTCTGTAAGGCATTGGAACCTTCTCAGTCTGTGTTTACAGAAAGTTGTATACCTTCAAATAGATGCATGGTTTAATAACAGTGAACATATCATTACTTTACTGTCTTGATCCTTTGGGCAGACATGTCTGGACATCCTCTGAACATCCTGGATGCTTAAGTAATCTTATGGCTCTACCTTACCTTTTTTGTTGGTGGTTTGATTTACAGAGACTACGAAGAGCAATGTCCATCTGCCCGGGAGGTGAGGAGTATAGTGAACATGTACTTGTCAGAAAAGGAGAACCTGAACAGCACTCTACCCGTTTCTATTGTCATTGGTCCCTTCCATGTCAGCACAGAAGCTGTTAAGCAAAATCTGACCGCAAAATACAAAGCGCTTGCCACTTCCATGTTGGATATACTGGCTAAAAACCTCCATTTGCAGGTGGAGAGTGTAAGTTACCTGGTTCAACAGGTTATATGTCAGTGTCTTGTCTTGTCCTGCTTTTGGAGTTGCTGTGTTTGTGAAATGGCCAAAAGACAGCAACTGAGGCCACATTAATGAAGACATTTTAAAGACTGCATCAAAGTGAATATTTAAGAAAAAAAAAACAAGCAGGGGAAGATACAGAGACTCAACCAAATAAAATATTAAATATACTTACTAAATTGTGGGCCTGAAAGCTGGATCTCTTGAGACAAAATTCTTCAACACCTTGACATCTTATAAAAATGTGTTGGTGGATTGAAAAGATCTGCCTAGTAGACAACTGCAAGGTCCTTCTGCTTGCTCTGAGGGTAACTGGAATGTAGACAATTGCATCTGCTAGAGGGTTGCCTGAATCTGTTATTGTCATAGTTTCAACTACATACCTGCTGTTCCTCTTCCTCTTTTTTTGTCCTCATTTTGTTTGAGGCCAAATGAGATGGATGGAGAAAGACAAAGAGCAGAAAGAAAAGAAAAAGACAGAACAGGGCTGTGTACTCATCACTTTAGACCAAGTTTGTAATGGGAACCAGGCAGATCATGGCAGGTTTTCCCGTCTGCCCATTTGCAGTTAATGACTTTTTGATGGTCTTTTCTCTGCTGTGACCTCCTGCAGATCTGCAACACGTATGAAGCCACCAGCTGCAGAATGCATGAGAAACCAAACAATATTGAGGAGCTGACTGAGCTGCAGGAGTGGATGAAGAACATCCCCAAGCAGCTGGCTGTGCAGGAGGTAGGGCTTGCTCTCCTGGGCAAGGAGCACCAAGGGAAGTGAGGAGGGAATTTGTTAATGCAATGGGTGGTGTCTCAGAAGCAGAACTCTGATTTTTTTACTTGGATGTCTTTGCATGCAATGCCATAAGATTTCTGGCTTTGTATTTTCATAATTCGTAGGATTTGTATATTTAAATAACACATCATGAATTTAAATATCTATCCAAAACAAAAGAGCAGTTAAAAATCTTGCCTAGAAGACTTATGTATGCTTTTTGCTACCTTCATGATCCATTCCACATTGTGTATTGAATAGCTGCCTTCAAAAAATTAATCTTGTTTTCAAGAAAATACGTCTGCTACCAAATGCTCATTTTGCTGGTAATGTACTTCTTCTAATAGGACAGTCTAGTGCTGAGCTATTTCAAATTTATTTGAAGTGTAGGTCTTCTCCCAGCTGAACAAATGGGAACCAAAGGCTTCAAGCTGTAAACTCACTTGCCCATACCAAAGGAAGGACCTGGTAGATAACCCAAAACACTCAATTTCTGTCCAGCACTTTATCCACTGGGTCATATTTCTTTTCATCCATATAGAACAGAGGGTGATGATGGTGTGACCATTCGCAGAGCAAGGGGTTATAAATCCCTTCCCACTGTTCACACAGCAGAGAAGTAGCCCGCATCACATTAAGCTTGTGCGACTAAAGCTCTTCAAAGGCATCTCATGAAAATGGGGTACACACAAGAGGGTTGGAATCGGTATAGTCTACAGGTGTCTGTTTTTTGTCTCTTTCTCTCACCCTGTGCAGAAGCTGATTTGTGAAGTCGTGAAAGATTACGAGATCATGGAGGAATTCTTTTACAACCTTACCAACGAAGATTTCAGTGACAGGTGAGCACAAGGCATTTCTCCCATTGTCAAAGTGGGACACTTTGCAGCAGTTACCATTCTTAGTGCTTTAGGGGCTATGGGTCTAGCAAGAGCTCCAGCAGAACTTTTAAATGTCTCTCAGCCTATGTGAGCACTGAATTCTTGAAATTAAGTTTATAGAGAAGTGTGGGTTCATGCTGCCTTCCAGCCTGGGGCAAGGCAAACTGGTAGCTATTAACCTGTTAAATGTATTAAAGATATTTTCTCTTGGGCTTTGGTTTGGTTGGGTTTTTTTTGAGACATCTGTAAGGTCTCGAAATGCAGAGTTTAGTCCGTGTCTGAAAGTGAATGAATACTTCCAAGGCAGGAACACTCCCAGAGTTTTCTTCCCTTTCCTTCTAGGGAACATGAACCCTGTATTATTACTGCATTTCTTTCCCATGCAGTCTCCTCTTAGTTTTATCTTTGGCTATGTTACATGTGCCCCAATAGCAGAGGCAGCTCACAAACACAGCAACACAGCTTCTGAAGTCAGCTCAGCCCTGGATGTGACTCTGATATGGCATGGCATGGCATGGTCCCATGTGTCTGCAACTTGAGTGAGTTTCTGCAGAGCGCGCCTGAAACTGGAAACATGGGATACACAGTGCAAAATAACCAGGAGAGTAGCTCAGCTCTAGGGCACCTTAGCATGGATGTGACTGTATGGCCACTGACCAGGCCTGGCACATGTAGAATTAGTAGGAGATTGCTGCATTCCCAGGCACTGCAAGGGGTGTGAGCTCGAGTGTAACGCTGCAAAGCTTGCATCTGGCATTGCACGCAAGCTAACAAGTCCAAATGGCAATGCAGAGCCCTTGGTAGACATATAGCTCCGAAGTAATGGGTGAGCTATGGCTGAGCAAGAGCCAAGGAGCCTGCCTTGGAATGAGCAGCCACTCTGTGCAGCCTTTCCTGTATCTGTACAGCACTCCCCAGGGCACTCTGCAGGAGCCTAGCCAGGACTTTGCTGTATCTGGGTTACCCTGGCCCCTCACTGCCCTGCTCAACAGGAGACTGGCTTTTTCAGTAGCCCTGAAAAGCCGTAAGCCAAGACTGTGACCTCATTTTTTTCAGTTCCTTGTGAATACATTCAAAACCAGACATTCCCTCTGGATGCCAACTGTTATTTTGCAGTCTCCTAGCTTTTCAGCAACATAGTGGATTTGTTCCTTTTAGAAAGGCCCCTCCACTTCTCCGCAGCCCTCTCCAATTGAATAGCCTAGTCACAAGGACTGCATATCAACAAGACAAGCTGGAAAAAATGTTTTGTTGAAACCACATGTGTTGCTGTTGTTGTAAGGCTGCCTTGTTTGGTGGGATTTGGCTTTCTCATTCTGTTATTTGCAGCGTTTCAAACATATGCTCTAAAAGCTTCTCTCCCTCTCTCTCTTGCTGGTTTTACTGTTTGTTTTGTTACACCATGTGAATGCAGGTGGGCTGCAAGTTACTGGCCATTGAAAATAAGCAAGCAAGCTGAGTGCCTTGGGCAGCAGCAGCAGAAGGATGCAAAGAGGTTTCATAAAAAACATGTCCTGGATCAGAGCAGCTTTCACAAGAAACTGGAGGAGATGAAGGTAAATAAGCCCCTGACAAGAAACTGTCCAGAGAAGGGCGCCCTGAAGCTCTTGTGGTCGGCCAGGTGGGAAACTTTCAGATGATATTTAAGTCAGATTAGGTTTTAGGTCAATATACTGTTGGACCAAAAGTTATTACACGCACACACACACCCCCTCACACACACCCATTGTAATTTATCGGAAGTTGGGCTTTTGATTGAGTTTCATTTTTGTGGAAAAAGCAATACTGTTTGCAGAAATACTGAGTTTTCACTGGGAAAGTGTTCATGAAGATACAATACTCCAATTCCCCGTGCTTGGGCAACACATACACCTCCTTTTTCTTACCAGTGTAATCCATTCCCGGCAGAGCATCTCCCATGATGTGCTGCCATCAAGGGGGAGAATACAGCATTTGGTCAGGGAACTCATGTGAAAGACCCTGAAACAGAGGCAGAGTTTTGAGCTGGTTTCTGCTGAAATGATTCAAGTTTTATTTTTTTTCACCAGAAATTCTTAAATGGAGAGAAAAAACGTTGTCTTGGGAAGGCTTTAGTCAGTGACATAGATTATCTTGGAAATAGCCTCCCAGCATGATAATACCACAACACTGGCTTGAAAAAAAGAAACAAACAAAAATCCCCTGAACAAACAAACAAAACCAAGGAACTAAAACAAAACAGGGAAGTCATTAGAGAAGCTCTGAGTATGTGTTGTTAAACAGTTCTTGGATACAAACCCAGGGACCTAGTGGAGCTATTGCTTTCACTTCACTGATTCTGTAACTAATGACAGCATAAACGCTGTGGCAAGAAATCTGGGCACAGACTTAGTGCTCCTGTTCCTCAGGGATTAACTATTGTCACAAAGACGAAAGCATCTGGTCATCACATCTGCACTTTCAACCACCTGAGCAGTGATTATAGCTTCTCCTCACTGCTTACGTGGTGGTCTAAACAGAAGTGGAATTGGGTTGGGGAGCTGAAATTCTGAGCATAAAAATCTTGCCTTTGAATGTAACAAAGAGCATCTATGATTCCATGAAGCACACCAGGAAGCTGAGATCTCCAGAGGCAGTACTCGGCTTCAGACCCACATCTCATGCCTGCCTTTTCTCTTCCAGCTGACTGTAGGTGGATTTTCCATCCAGGCAGATGCTAGCCAAGCTAATGAGTTGGCTAACAAAGCAAGGGAGGTCAGGAAGCAGCTGCAGGAGCTTCAGAATTTGGCAGCTGTCTACAACAACAGGGAAAGAATCTTTGGGATCAAAGTTACTAATGTAAGTGTCAGGTCCTGTACCTACAGGACTCTAATCTTTGTTGGGTTTTCTAGGTGGTAGAGCAAATAATGAGGCAGTTCCTCAGGAAGGAATCCTTCATGCTTTGCTGATTTATCTGATTAGGTGCTCTGTAGAGTGTAGGGTGACCACAGTGCTCCGTCACTCCACTGTGGCACAGAAGATCTGATGCCAGACAAATGTGGAAAGCTGCATATGTGCCTGATACTGCCACCGTGAGAGACTTTGTGTGGCCATGCTTAGATCTGAGTGATGTTAATGAGGAGAAATTGCATTGGGGTTGTCTTGAAACAGCAGTTGAGATGCATCGATTTCTGTGAGGCTATTACTGCTGTTACATAGAGGTGCAGGCAGCTGGTTGGGCTCCCAGTGTAGAGTGTTCTCCTAAGGCAGCAGTTCACATAGTTGCAAACACTCATTTTGCCAGTAGCTGTTCAGATGCCAATGAATCATTATCATCTACCTTCAGCCCAGGCTGGCTGCAGAGTAGAAGTACAGTTCACATGATCCTTCCCTCTACCCTTCAGTCTGTGGTTTCTACTCCTCACTGTAAGGAGCCAGATTTCTATATGATTTCTATATGATGCACAGTGAAAGCATGTGTGCTGTCACTGATTGTGTGTGAACTGCCCATCAAAATCTCATTCGGCAGCAGAGCATGTGCAGAAGCAAGTGAAGAGAGTGCTTTTCATGCCTGACAAATGGTGCAGGCACAGTTCCACCACATACATTTTGGCCTGACTGTGAAGCCCAGCTCTGCTAGTTGCTCTCCCTTGGAATCTGCATTGTGGTCCCAGGAAAATGTAGTATCGGCCAGCCTCTTGAAGTGCACATTTTCTCATTGCTTGTTTGAGGTCCAGAAAACAATTGTGCCTTTTTTTGCCTTTTGACATAAAAGCTGTCATCCTGAGCAGAATACACTTGTCGCTTATGCTTGCTTTTTCTCTCTTTCCAAAGTACAGTGGGCTGTCCAGGATGGTTAAGGACTTCCAGCCATACCATGACCTCTGGACAACAGTGTCAGACTGGATGCATCAGCATGAGAAATGGATGAGTGATCCTCTCATGGAAATTGATTCTGAGCAGATAGAAAAGATTGTCAATGACTCTTTTAAGACAATGCAGAGATGCGTGAGGCAGTTCAAGGAGTCACCAGGTAGACAAATGGTCTGGAAGTTGGGGCATATCAGCATTTTTTGTGAGGCATGTCACGGAGTGTTCTGGACAGGGATTGTCAGGATATCGCATAGATGTGTTGTGTGTATTAGAGTCAGTTGAGAAAATGCTAGCAGTCATTTTCCACTTTTTGTCTGGAGCTATGGTGATGCACATCTAGATGTTGGTTTGCTGTTTGAAGTACCAGTTTGACATGGAAACAATCAGGCTGCAAATCCGTTTTATACCCAATTCCCCAGACAGTACTGAAATAAAAGCCACCCTCTTACTTTGCAGTTAATATTTACTTATTTATATGAAGTAAAAGAATCCAGATTAGTCATAGAGAATCACTATGTAGCCCACTGGCTAGACATGTGGGTTTAAGCCCTTACGCAAGGCAGGCAGCAAAGGAGCTTGAATCTGGGTCTTCCGGGTGCCATCTTCTTGGCCAATCTTATTTTCTCTATTGGCCAATGAATTTAGAGGAAAGCCAGAGGAGCTCTTGATTTCGTTATGAATAAAATGAGAATGCAAAATCTGGAAATGATCTTTGGAATGTAATAACTGTTTTCCTGCCTGTCTGAATGTGTGTGAAGTTTAGATGATCACATCCAGCCCTTGCTATTCACGTGAAGGTCTTTTAATCATGCCTCCTAGTAAAGCTGGAATGGAGACTTCAGTTGTAGCTTAACTTCCCATTCCACGATTCTCAGAGATGTGCTGGTCATTCTCTAGAGCTAATTCTAAAATCTCCTGCCAGATGGCTTAGATTGAAATATATTTTGCAGTGGGAGAGTTTTGATTCATCCTTTTTAACTTGAACTTGCTCTTAAACAATGCCATGAATCAGCCCCAATGGAGGAGGTGATGAGTGGATGCATGAGTAACTATGAATCATTATGGTAAACAGAAATACTAAGAATACCTGCTTATATTCATTTCATTATTCCCTAGCACCTGGTTAAATATGAGCTTCATCCTTGAGGCTGCCTTTTCTTTGCATACCACCCAGCGGGGACTGTGAGGTGCTCAAATCCTTGCTGTGCTTGTGTGGTGCAACCACACAGGGTGCAATAAAAGGAGGCACATACTGTAGCCAGGTTTTGGAAGGGAATCAAGTCCCATGCTCTTTGCCTGTCTGTTGCTTTATTCACAATAGCACAAGCTGAAAAAGGGCAGGATGTGAACAGTGTAGAGACGTGGGCTTCCAGAATGCCCCCAGAGATCAAATCCTTTTCCTTGACTGTGTCCTTTCTGTGAGCCAGAAGTACCTTTGACTTTAATGTGGCCATAGGGTAGCAGAGCCTCTCTTGCCTGCTTTCCATGTCCATAGCTGGCTCTGATCCTAGTTTACTTCTATCTCTGAGACATAGTGTCCATCTTCTACTTAGGGGAGTGTGCTATCAGTTTATTAACAAGTTTAGGTTGAGAGTTAAGATTTTGGAATGATGACCAGAGCTTCTGAAATACCAGTTGTTAGAGGGGACTCTGTCATGCTTGGGGCCCATATTAAGGAACTAAATTGGTTTGCTTCTCATCTTCTGGTAGGCTCTAGGCTAAGGAACAGTTCTGCTTAGCATGAACTTGTCTGTAACAGACTTCTGGCTTCTGGGAGTGGGCTTGAATCCTTGCTTAGTAGCCGTGCTTACAGAGCACCTTTGTGTCCTCGTTACTTCAACCTGCATTTTTCAGTGTTCTCCCATGCTGCTTACCTACCATGTATCTACAAGCACATCAGGCTTTAGACAACTTCTAGGAACTTCCTTAAGGCAACGTCCTCACACACGATTGTTGCTGATGGTGTTCTGTTTTTCTCCCTGAAAGCCTGCCAGGGTGTGGCAATGGAGTTTCGAGACAAGATTGGCAAATTCAAGCTATACGTCCCCTTAATTCAAGGGCTCTGCAATCCTGGTATGAGAGAGCGGCACTGGGATATGCTGTCGGAATCTATTAAGATGGATATCAAGATAGATCCCAGTCTGACAGTTTCTCGCTGCTTGGAAATGAACCTGCTGGACCATATCAAGAGCATCAGCAAAGTAGCTGAGGCAGCTGGCAAGGAATACGCCATTGAGAATGTGAGGAGAGAGGGGCTGCTGAGTCTTTGGTGGCTTCTCAAATACGTTTCTGTTGAGCAAGTAGTTGTTGTCTTGGGTGATATTCTTGTTGTCCCAGAGCACGAGACACATTCTGCAGCAACAGTAAAAAGACTGCTGTGCTTCAAGAGGGGAGCAATGGTCACACAGTTGAGTTCACCTTGCACAGTTTCAGTTGTAGCATAACAGCGCCGCCTGATGATCTGCTGGTTGGGTCTGACACCTCACTATGAGATTAGTGACTGTTAAAATAAATTGAATGCCATTCTGCCAGTCAAACATTACATCAGGGAGATTAGTTGTGGCTGGAAATGGAGGTGGCAAATCCTTTAACGCAGTAAATGTCCAGGGAAGACTTGCTGACTCTAGAGATTCATAGGTTAGTCTTTCAGTTCACCAGTTCTGATGTGACCTAAGGTCTTGATTGAAAGTCATTACCTTCTGGCAGCTTTGTTCTCTGAAATCTCAGGCAAGTTCCCAATGAATAGCTGCCCCTTTCACAAAGCTACCATTAACCATAATCATTAATAGGCACTTTGCTGGCTGCCTCTCCGCATCTAGTAGCATAAGTGGGCCTGGAGATGAAATTGCACTTTTTTCCCCTCAAGGTGTTTCTTTTGGGACAGCACTGAAGCGTTGAGTCCGTGGGCAATGCAGATGAAGTGTGCTGTTGCTGAGTATGTCACGCATTAAATACACAGCTGCAGTTTCCAGTGGAAACCAAGAGCAAAATTCTCTCACTTGCTAGAGAGGGGCATTAGGAGAGTTCTAGAAGCTGGGATAACCACTGCACATTGTATCTGAAAATTCAATTGCATGTCCCTCTGTTTCAGGCGCTCAACAAGATGGAGAGTGAATGGAACTCCGTATTTTTTGCTGTGGACCCTTACACGGGAACGTTTATTCTGAAAAACGCCGAGGAAGTTTCTGGGCTCCTAGATGATCACATTGTCTTGGTTCAGAGCATGTCCTTCTCACCATTCAAGAAACCTTTTGAGGAAAGGATGAACGCATGGGAAAATAAGCTGAAGATTACACAGGTATTGCTTTCTTACCTGCACACACTTGGGAGAGGCAGGCAGCTGGGCTGGGCTGCAGTGCTTAAACATGGGCACTGCAGTTGCTACTAGGGAATTGGGAGGAAGACCATCAGGAGAAAGTCAGTCTTAAGGGAGGACTGTAGTAAAAGAGGGGATAAACTCAGCCTTATTCTCCAAACAGCAGTGATGAAATTCCAGCTTTTTTTCTGCCTATTGTAACACTTTTGGGTGGGGTCAGGACTGTTCCATTGCTGGGAATAGTCCTACTGGCATCTCTATTACACTATTTTACACTATTACACTATATTACACTAAGTGGACCTTACAGATTCTTGTAGGCCCTGTGAGATCCATGCTGAGCATTCACATCTCAGTGTAGGAAATCACAAGGAAGACTGCTGCTTAGAGCAGGATCTGTCACACCATGCCAGCACTTCTTCATCAAACCAGAACCTGAATGCTCGGCACCCAGCAGGACTCAGCTAGCAAAATAGCATCTTGCTGCATGAGAAAAATGCCAATGCAGATCTGCCTGAAGAACTCTGTGTAAATGCTGGTCTTTGATGCATAGCAGCATTGTTACCTGTTACTCATAGCTATCTTATTTTGTTTATTGTTGCTTACCATCTGGGTGTGCTTGGGCCATGAGCTGCTTTGTCTCATGAAGATACAGAAATGCTATTATAAGACCTAAGGCAGTAGATGATGTGGGAAAATTCAGTTAGTTACTGTGTAGCTTTGGCTGTGATGTTGTCCATGTTTACACCCTGCTTTTCCTACCCCTTCTTTTGATTGCATTCGTTCCTGTCACTAAAGGCCCACTAATCTGCTTCTGGGAAGTGGCTTATCAGGGTTAGCTGATGGAGTGCAGCAAACATCATTGCCTGTATTACTGGAGAACCCCACCTGTTGCTAAGTCAGGTAGCTTGCCTGTGTTCAGGGGGTGGGAGGTAGTGCCCTGTGACTAAGGAAGTCTGAAAGGGAGGCAAACACTTGAGCTGCTTTGCAGTGTTGGGCAGGTTCCCCATACCTTCCAATCTCCTGTGCCTTAAAATGGAGGAAGGTGGTTTTTTCAACCTAGTTCTCTTGCTCTTTGGCTAACAAACAGGGTTTCCTGCCTGATGTCTAGCTTGAATGTTCAGCTTTTCATTCGTCCTCTCACTCATTTGGAGTGTTGTTTAGAGAACTTTTCCTGGTTTATTCTGTAGGCAAGGCTGGGGCTGAGGTACATCAGGCAGGAGAGAGGATTCTGCATCTGCGATTGTGTCATATTTTATTGTCATTCTTCTTCCCCAAAAAGCTCTTCTCACAAAATAAAATCCCCATCTTACTGTAGGATTGCACTGTGCTATGTTCTGTAAAATACAGAAACACTAGCCACAGAATTTTGATCTAGAAATGAAAAGTCCCTTTGAGTGTTCGTACTGGCTTACGCGTGTCTCGGCTACCCCCGTTGAAGTAGTGGGTGTGGTGGTTTTTTCCAGACCCGTTCTGGTGTGCAGTTTGCATGGTTTTGTCAGCAGGTTCCTAGCATGGTGTCCTGTTATGCTGCTCTTCTTGCTTCCTGCTAGGCTGTCCTAGAGGAATGGCTGAAGTGCCAGCTCTCTTGGCTCTACTTGGAGCCAGTCTTGAGTTCAGAGGACATCAAAAGACAGCTCCCATTGGAAAGCCAGCTCTACCAGGAAGTGGATAAGGACTGGAGGGACATCATGAAGAGTGCTAATGAAAACCCTGAGGTGCGTACCTTGATGAAAGCCAGTGCAGGTATCACAAACTCCTTGGAGCTGTGCTCATACGAGGGCTGCCTTTGAATTGTTGTTTTAGTAATGGTGTGGGCTTGAGCAGCACTGTTTAAACCAGGAGGCCTTGTCCAGGGCTGTGTGCTAGGTTTCTCCTCCTGGAACTTGGCCTTTATTTCTGGTGTCCAAACAGAGTAATTCCCTGTGATGCCTTGCACCAACTCGTCCACCACACCAGTTATCTTCCCCTTAGCACATACTCGCTACCTCCTACAGCTCTTGTATCCAGCTCTGCTATAATCATAACCCATAAGATACATCTCATTTGATTCCTTCTCAGGCCTGATCCTTTAAATTTAGAGCCATTATTTTCACCCATTTCTGTGTCCTGGTAGCAGTGCTCTGCACTCTTCTGTTCTCCAGGCTTCACTTCCCAGGTCTCCACCACCACTTGTATTCCATATTACAAATGTTGGTATTTAGGGGAACCCAGAAATGTGCTTGTCACATCCATAAGTGCTGTTTCCACTCCTTGCCCACAAAGCTCACACCTCTCCAGATCCCTGTGAAAGTACTCCTGTGAATGAGTCATTCAAATCCTACCAGTAACATCACTGGGCAGCCCAATTGTCTCCATTTCCTTATCTCTCACTTGCTCAGAATACTGATGCTTCCTCTGTTCTCCATTCTGTCTGTAGGTGATTTCTCTGTGCCCTGATCCTGTGCTACTACAGAAGCTCCAAAAATGTAACCAGCTGCTGGAACTGGTTCAGAAAGGGCTAAGTGAATATCTGGAGACGAAGAGATTTGCTTTTCCTAAGTAACCTGAAATGTCAGTGGACTGGATCACACTCCCTGGTTCAGGAAATGGGAAAGGAGAGGCTCACTCCAGTTCTCTCTGAAGAAAGAGCAAAACAATCTAAGTTTAGGATATTGTAATGAGAATGTAAACATAAGCAAGGCTGTACCTTTCAATGCTGCCATCTGATGGGGATAAAACAGAGAGACACAAATGTTGGCATTTCTTCTTTGCATATCTGTGCCTCATGATTTGTCTAGAAAGGATGGGGTGAAATGAAGGAATACTATTCCTTGATACGCATTTAAACCCACTTCAGAATCATAGAATCTATGATTAGAATAGTTAGGGTTGGAAAGGACCTTTAGATCATCCAGTTCCAACCCCCCTGCCATGGGCAGGGACACCTCACACTAAACCATCTCACCCAAGGCTTTGTCCAAACTGGCCTTGAACATTGCCAGCAATGGAGCATTCACACCTTCCCCGGACAACCCATTCCAGTGCCTCACCACCCTTACAGTAAAGAATTTCCTCCTTATATCCAATCTAAACTTCCCCTGTTTCAGTTTGAACCCATTACCTCTTGTCCTATCACTGCAGTCCCTAATGAAGAGTCCCTCCCCAGCATCCCTATAGGCCCCCTTCAGATACTGGAAGGCTGCTCTCAGGTCTCCATGCAGCCTTCTCTTCTCCAGGCTGAACAGCCCCAACTTTCTCAGCCTGTCCTCATACAGGAGGTGCTCCGGCCCCTGAGCATCCTCGTGGCCTCCTCTGGACTTGTTCCAACAGTTCCATGTCCTTTTTATGTTGAGGACACCAGAACTGCACTAGATCTCTCAACTCAGGTAAAGAGCATAGCTGTTGAACTTTACCTGGCCTTCCTGACCAGTCTTCATTCTCCTTACTTATCAGCCATGTCCGTGACAAATGCAAACAAGAGTTTGCATGGTCTGTAAGCAGTATTCCTGAGTCACCTCTAACATCCCTGTGAGGAGTGGGATTCCGGTCGGCTAAGGATGCTGTTTCTAAGGCATCTGAGACCTGGTTTTGATGGCACCCACTTTGGCAATATGGATTAATCTATACCACGGTGTTTCACAGCCTCACTGTGAAAGGGCATGCTCTTGCCCAAGGAGTGTGATGCTTGATATAATACTGTAGTGGTCTAAGCCCAGTTGGCAACTCAGCCATGCAGTCGCTCGCTCACTCCCCCCACTTCCTCCCCTCTGCTCCCAGAGGGATGGGGAGCAGAATTGAAAGAATGTACCTCCCACGGGTTGAGATAAGAGCAGTCCAGTAACTGAGGTATAACACAAACCACTGCTGCTGCCACCAATGATAATAATGAGAAGGGAAATAACAAGGGAAGAGAACACAACTGCTCACCACCTGCCGACCGATACCCAGCCTGACCGAGCAGTGATCTAATGCTTCTGGGTAACTGCCCCCAGTTTCTATAGTGGGCATGATGTGCTGTGCTATGGAATACCTCTTTGGCTAGCTTGAGTCAGGTGTCCTGTCTCTGCCTCCTCCTGGCTTCCTCTCCTCCCTGGCAGAGCATGAGGCTCACAAAGTCCTTGGTCAGACCAAACAGCTGAGCAGTAACTAAAACCATCGGTGTTATCAGCGCTGTTCCCAAGCCAAAAGTCAAAAACACAGCACTGTACCAGCTACTGAGAAGGAGGAAAATGACTGCTACTGCTGAACCCAGGACAAATACCTGATTTCAGGTCCTGTGAGAACTCCTGTCCATCTTAGTGTGTTATTTTATCCTTTCTCCTCTCAAGGAGGAAATCCCTTGATATGCAGGTCTCTAAACCTACAGGCTGTAGTCTTGAGAGCTGCTGTACTGTCTGCCAGCCAGTGTTTTATCTTTCTGATGTCATGTTCACTCATCATTAGATACTACTGGACAAAGGGGGACCTGTACATGAGAGCAGTCAATGCTGAATTTCTCTATGGCTATGAGCACCTGGGGAACACTGGCCATCTGGTTATTATACCCCTTGCTGACAGGTAAGGAGACTATTTTCTATGTAATAAGTAGATCTTTTTCCTGGATGAACAAGCCTTACTGGGAATCTGACCATGCTTAATGTGTGTAAATAGAAACCGTTTGTACAGTAAAGGACTAACTGAGATTAGGGCACAGGAACACCCTGGCATTGGTTCTGCTGTATTCCTCATGATCAGTGCTCAGACTGATTGCTTTCATTCCCCTCATTGTAGTGCTCTGACTCTCATAAAATGTCTTCTTGATAGCCAAGGAGCTCTTCTACAAACCAGTAGATATGGACATCTCATACCCTAGAATATGCAGCAGCAATAACAATTTTACCTGTTTGTAACTGTCCTTTTTCTCTGTAGCTGGTGGCAGAAGGACTTATCCGTTCAGACCCAGATGAATACTAATCGAGGCCACGCAGCTAACTGCTTTGCAGAATGCTGTATATCTAAGCAGTTCCAGTAATAAAGGATGGATTCTTGCTTGTCTCCAGCTGCATGGATCATGTGTCTCCCTTACTGAAACCAGTAGCAGAAATGCTTTTCATCATCTGGTCTCTTCTTTGTTGTAGGTGTTACCTGACACACACAGGAGCTCTGCACCTGAAATTTGGAGGAGCACCTGCAGGAGCAGCAGGACCAGGCAAAACAGAAACAACAAAAGACCTGGGCAAAGCACTAGCAATCCCAGCTGTAGTGTTCAACTGCTCTGACCAGCTTGACTTTCTGGCAATGGGAAAGTTTTTCAAGGGACTAGCCAGGTAGGATGAAATGCTGTGTGTCATTATTGAGGAGTGGGTCGGGTACAGGGGTGCCGGCCACTGGGAAGTGGTGGGTATTATTCACAGCAACCCAGAAGAATAAGCAAAGCAGGAGTAAGGGGGTTACTGTGTTCCAGAATGAGCAAAGTTCCTTCTGGCAGGAATTTTGTGACAGTTGAGCCAATTAAAACAAAAAAAAAGGGGGGAGGGGGATAAAAAGAGATCCTGTTTATTTAAGGCAAAATTAAAATGCCTTAAAATGCGCCAATCCACTACACACTAATCCACCTGTGCAAGTGTTTGCAGCTCTGGCCTTTGTTTTAATATCATACATGTTGGACTGGGATTCAGCCTACAAGCTGCTTAATCTTAAGAAAGAGAATCTGCTGAGTGTATCCAAAATTGAGCAGCCAAGAGAGACTGCTCTAAGCCCTGAGGGATCCTCTCAGAGAAGTTTCTCTCTTCGCTACCTTTCAAACAGAGCTGGTCCAATTAGTCTGTTGCACACTGGTGAATCTGAATGTTATTCCAACAAAAGCTGATACTCTTCTCAGATGTTTTCTTGCCAGTAATTTAACTTCTTTCTCAAACTGTGCCTTGTGGAAAGATCATCTTCCTCATATACATGCTTCCAGCTTTATACCCAGTGATCCAAGCTCTGAAAAATGGACTTAAGAGATGTCTAAATTGTCTGCTACACTTACAGCTCAGGTATAAAACAGGAATTCAACATGACACCTCTTTCAAGCCCAAATCTCTAACATGCAGAATTTGTCCTAGGCTGTAGGAGCAGTCATTGCCATGGACTTGCAGGGGCCATGCGCCTTCTCACTCACCCATGGCCTGGGATGCGTAGTTGGGGTGAGGGCTAAAGGCCCTTCCACTGTGCCAGTACACTGTAGCTGTGGGGCCTTAGGGGCCTTTTAGGTTCATTTCTTGTCTCTGTGCTGCCTCCCCAGTATGTGAATTTACAATTTCTAGATCTAGCTGAACATTTGACTGCAAGTCCTCTTCTGTAAGATGTTCCTGACTCCCCTCGTTTTTCCTTCCTCGCCTAGCTCTGAGACATGGGCTTGCTTTGATGAGTTCAACCTCATTGGTATCGAGGTGCTGTCTGTGGTGGTGCAGCAGATTACAACCATTCAGAAAGCACAGCAGCAGAGGGTATGTAATGAACTGGTAGATGCAAGGGCAGACAAAAAATCTCCACTTGAGCTAGTCTAGGCAAGTCCTTGTCTTCAGACTAGCTTCACTGCTTAGGGGCAGCTCAGGCAAACTTGAGCTTGGAGAAGCATGAGCAATGCCCTAGCTGGGAGCATCACATCAGGCCATTACACAGTTAGCACCTTGGCTGGGTTTTGTAACTTCACCCTAGTCTGTGCTACCATAGTTGCCCATGCTTGCACAGGCTCACGTACATCTCAGCCTGAGCTGCAGTGCCAGCAGACTTTGGTGTGGGAGACACTCCAATACAGATCCACTGGTACAAATTGGAGCTGAGATAAAGACAGTCCGTGTTCTGCTGTGAATTGCTCAGCACCACATTTGTCTAAATGAGTTACCAAAGCCTTAGTGGATTCTCAAAACCCAACGTGTTCAGGAAAATGCATACTTGTGCATGCCCAGAGTTGCAATGTAAAGTGAATTTTCGGCTTTACATGGAGACTCGGCTGTCAGCCAGTCTAACAGCCAGCCTCTGCTTTGTTGTCAGGGGGCTCAGAGGGGTTAAGTCCTGAATCTCCTTTACTTTGGCTTGGAATTAGAAACTTGCTCTCCATGAATTCTTCTGCATTACCTTATCCCCCATCTGAAATTACTACCTACACAGCTTTGAAAAGGATTTACGTTTCTCTTTGCCCTCTCTGCCACAAATTAATTCAGATCCAAACTCTACTGCAGAATAAATGAAAAGATGTTTGTTTACAGCTGGAGGGATAAAAGTCTGTTCAAGAGAAAAAAAAAAAAAAGAAAAAGCCTATCAGTAAATCTTCCATGAGCCCAGTTTCTTAAACAAGGAAAAATATTGCTGGTAATACTAGATTCCTGCAGTGGGCCCACATTAAGTCACTACAGTTGTGGGCACCTCTGTGTGTCCGTGCTTCATCATTTAACTACTGGAAGCCATTGTTTTCTTCTTGGAAGATGCTGCTATATTACTTGATTTTCAGGTCAGGCTCTGCTCTTCAAGGAGGATGATATTTTTAATTTTCTAGGCAAATTGCTTCATGTTTGAAGGTGCAGAGATCCCACTGGTCCCATCCTGTGCACTCTTCATCACAATGAACCCAGGGTATGCTGGGCATGCTGAACTGCCCGATAACCCGAAGGTAAGGAGGACAGACTGCATAGACAGAAAGAAAAGAAGAGCGGGCAGTAGAGGTGCTGGATGCTACCCAGATGTCGTGGTTTAAACCCAGTCAGGTAACTTGTTCACTCACTCCCAGTGAGTGGTGCCGAGCTGACAACAATCGAGGTCTGTCCCCCCCCACCGGGGTTCTCCCCCACTCCCGGAGGAACGGGGAGGAGGATCGAAAGAGTGCAACTCCCACGGGTTGAGACAAGAACAGTCCAGCAACCAATGTACACAAATCACCACCGCTACTATCAACTACAACAATAAGGGAAAATAACAAGGGAAGAGAATACGATACCACCGGCCAAGAAAGCGAGTTCCACCCGGAAGCCCGTGTCCTTCCGGGTAACTCCCAGTTACCCCTCACCCCGGGCATGACGTGCTGTGGTATGGAATACCTCCCTGGCTAGCCCGGGTCAGGCGCCCCGTCTCTGCTTCCTCACAGCTTCCCCTCCTCCCTGGCAGAGCATGAGCCTCACAGAGTCCTTGGTCAGGGTAAACATCACTTAGCAACAACCGAAAACATCGGCTTCACCAACACTGTTCTCAGGCTGGAAGTCAAAACACAGCACTGCACCAGTTAACACAAAGGAAAAAACATGACTGCTACTGCTGAACCCAGGACACCAGACTACTGGTGTGTCCATGACAAGGATTAGGAAGTGATGCTTTTGGAAGGTTTCTAGGATCATTTTGAGATTTGAATCACATCTGTAAGCAAATGACGCTCCTCAGATAGCAGTCTGCAGGGATGCTATCCTCACAGGTGTCAGGCATGCTCGGGCTGTGTCCTCTAAACAGCCTGGGATAGATACCCAGCCTTCTCAGTTTGCTGGAAAAAGCAGGAAACAAGTGTGTTAATCTTGTGTTGGAACCATATGTTTCAGGCTCTCTTTCTTCCTGTGGCTATGATGGTCCCAGATTACTCCATGATTGCTGAGATGTCACTCTATGCCTTTGGGTTTGATGAAGCCAAAATCCTTGCAAAGAAGATCACCACAACATTCAAACTATTGTCAGAGCAGCTCAACTCCCAGGTAGATGCCTTAATGCCCATAAATGTCTTTTTAAATGTGAGATTTTCAGCCTAGGCACAAAGTACCTGGGTGGTTCTCCCAGTGCCTTGTAACTGCATATCACATATCACAAAAAGGTCACAGTACCCATTCTTCATCTACCTCCCTCCTTTCTGGTTTTCCTTTTTCCTCCTGTGGCTGGACTTGCATTCAGCTGCAGTGCTAGTTAGAATTACAATGGCAGGACAGTTGCCCTGCCTACTTCTCCTTCCATCTAGGATTTTTTATCATCCAGATATTCTTGTCTTCCTCACCCGCAGTCTGTACAGCTCAGGACTAGTTAGTTGTTTGAAGGATACTGAGGGCAAACTGTGATAGGAAGCAGTTGTTCTGAAGGCATAACTCATTTTTCTTTTCTTACCTGCTAACTGAGTGCATGCATAGGTTCACTCTATTTTAGGTGGTGCTCCTGTATCTGATGTCATTTTCTCTGTACCTTTCCCAGGACCACAATGACTTTGGGATGAGAGCTGTGAAAACTGTCATCTCAACAGCTGGCAACCTAAAAAGAGAGAATCCTACTATGGATGGGGTAAATGTGCGAAGACTTCACGTTGTCACAGACCTATTAGGCCTTTTCTGCAGCCTCCTAAGAGAGGTGAGATCTCTGAAGTTCTGAGTTCTTAAATCTTTGCAGGAGCTGATCTGCCTGCGGGCTATCAGGAATGCCAATGTACCCAAATTCCTGAAGGATGACCTCATGCTCTTCAGTGGTATTGTCTCAGATTATTTCCCAAGATCAAAGAAGAGCTTGTTGCTTACGGCCACCTGGAAGAAGCCATTCACAAATTCTGCATCAAAGAGAACCTGGAGGATACTGATGGTGAGGGAAAAAAGCTCCCTGTGCGCCTGGGCTTTTAGTCCTCTGCCCTAGGAAAAGAGACAGCAGGTTCCAGACCCACTCCACATTGTCTTTCTCTGCAGGTTTTGTGACTAAGTGCATCCAGCTCTATGAAGCTACTATGGTTTGACATGGCCTTATGCTGGTGGGACCAACAGGTTCTGGTAAGACAAAGGTATGGTTGTGAGACTCTGCTGGCACCAGTAAACCATCACCTAGCTATGGATGCAGAGGGTTAAGCTTCACAGAAGACTCACTCTCCAGCATTTCCACCTTCTCTCAGATAAAAGTCAGGGCACCAAGATGATGCCTTTTGGTACTGATTTATAGCCATGGGGAAGTATATTACTAGCTCACTCTTTCAAGTTGGGAGATTAGACTGAGGCTTATTAGCTCTGCTGCAGATTTCTGAGGCTGAGACATGCTTTGACATCTTGAGATGCTTCAGGCCTTTTGGACAGGAGATCTAACTTCCTCCCCTCTTCATCTAGAATGCTTGCTTTCTGTGAATACAGCCAGGCATCTCCTTACAGTCATATTATCCTTCACTGTATCTCCTTTTTCACTGCTTTTTGAATGCAACTGCTGTGAGAGCCAGAGGAGCCATGGCAGTTAAATCTCTTGCTCTCCTGCTTTTGCAGAGTTACCAAGTCCTGGCAGCTGCAGTGACATCACTGAAAGGTCAACCTGCAGCAAGTGGTGGGAATTACGAGGGAGTCAGATACTTTGTACTGAATCCCAAATCCATCACAATGGGCCAGCTTTATGGAGAGTTCAGCTTGCTAACGCATGAGTGGTAAAGTACAAAACCTGCTTTCCTTCTTTCCAGACTGGAAACAGTTTTCTTCTTGTCTTGAGCATCTTCTCTTCAAGGCTGAGAACTGTTTAGAGTAGTGGCATGAAACCAGAAGCAATCAAGTCCTTATCCTCACCAAGCTGCAATAGCCAGTCACAGCTATTTAAGCTGACATCTTCTATTGTGTGCTTGGCTTGGCTGCCAGCACATGCCCAGACAGTTACTGCAGCTCAGTAAGCAGCATTAACTGCATAACAAGGAAGAATTAAATTGCTTTGGAGCACATAGCCCTGCTCTAAGATGCAGCAACTTAAAAACACTTGCTTTACTTCTGAAAAAAGCGCTTGAATTGTTCTGTATAAATACACTGGTGGCCTTGAATGAGGAGGAATGACTTTCAGACATAAAGAGGCATTTCATTGCTGTTACCAGGGCTCCTGCTTGCTTACACACTTTAGAAGCAAGAACCAATAGCCTGTTTGCCCTCTTGATAGCCAGGTCTTACTGCTTATGTTTCAGTGTGTGACCTCGGGTTGAATTTGCAGCTCGCTTTATCCAGAAACTAAGGTGTGGGAAGCAGTGTGAATCTCCCTTTAGCCCTGTTACCCACCACTTGCTTAGGGGCAAAGCTAAAGACTCTGGTCTGTGAAACGGGAAACTAAATAAATGTGAAACTAACTACCTCTAGGAAAAATGCAAGTAAGTAAGCACTGCTGATGCTGAGACTCAGAGCTTCCTACCCTGGGCTCTGGTGCTTCTTTACTGAGGGGCATTCTCTAGGATGTTCCAGTTAAGCTCAACAGTTTATTTATGATGTGACTGTACCCAAGGGCAGCACACAGGCATGTCAGCATGACAAAAAGAAAAATACAGCAGCCGTGTAAAACATATTTACAGACAAATCCGTCTGGTTTGATCAGCTGAGCTTTTGAACAGACTGTTTTCCCTTGATCTCAGTAACAATACCCCAGAACTGACAAGCACTATAAAAATAACAAATAATTAATAATGGGAGTAAAGTCCAGGGCCTGAATGAAAATTGCACTCCAGGTTTCCATGTACAGATTAAGTTCTTGCTGCAAACAGCCAGCATTCCTTGTGTCTGCTCCCCTGTTCACCATCTCCAGCATCACCTGGTGATGGATGCTGAGGATGCGGAATTTCAGTTGTAGAGAGGGTAGAGTCATGCTCTTTAGCCTGGATTCATCCTCATAACCTGTAGTTACCCAACGGAAACATCTGGTGGAGAAGAGGCACAGAGAGCTGATAACCCACCTATGACCTGAAATGGATGCTAGCAAAGCCTCTTTGTTTTTCACTGAGGGCGGAGATGTTAAAGGGAAACTTGGCATTTTACAGTTAGATGACATGAAATACAGATCCTAATGCCCATAGAAATTGTTTCATGGTGTCACTCAGACTGAGGTGTATGTCTCAGTAAAAGAAATAACAAAATGGACCTTTAGGCAGCTCATCAAGTGAGGCACAGATATCCTTGGGCACAGGAACCAGGGTAAGATTCTAGCTCTGTTGCCTTAGGTTGTGAAAGCTTTGCCATGGATTTCAGCAAAACCAGAATGGGCCAAGCCCTGCCTTCCTCCCACCTTTCAGGACAGATGGGATCCTTTCCTCACTCATCCAGCAGGGAGCTGTGGCCACTGACACCATCAAGAAGTGGTACATGTTTGACGGCCCGGTTGATGCTTGTGGATTGAGAACATGAACACAGTGCTAGATGACAATAAGAAGTTGTGCCTGAGCTCAGGGGAAATCATCAAGCTGTCAGAGGTAACTCATCTCTTATGCTTTTGCTGCCTGTTGTCTGTTTTCCTTCCTCTCTCTTGGAACAGGTTTGCCTTTTACTTTCCATTTGATGTCTGTGGTGGACTTGTGTGAAATTGGTGTCTCAGTAGTAGCCCTGAGCTGCCCAGAAACAACAAAAAGGGCCTCTGCAACAAAGGAAAAGATTTCATCTTTGCCAAATTATGCTGAAACATATCTTGGAAGTGATCAAGTCCTTATCCTCCTTGCTTTCTTTTTGCAGTTCCCAGTGTATGACCACGGTGTTTGAAGTCCAGGATCTGGCTGTTGCTTCCCCTGCCACAGTGTCTCACTGTGGCATGGTTTACCTTGAACCCAGCATCCTGGGGCTGGAGCCATTCATTGAGAGCTGGCTGCAAAAACTTCCAGGCATCATGAAGCCCTTCTCACAGCAGCTATCATCTTTCTTCAAGAGATTCCTCAAGGTGAGCAACGCTACTGTTCCAGCCTTTCCATGGCTTGGAGGTTGTCAGCTCAGTTATCAATCAGCCCAGACTTGTCAAGGCCTGGATTTAAACACTTCATACTACCAGTATACAAACTGATATGTAAATTTCCTGGGTTTAATATGGGTTATTTGCTGATCCCTATAGATTTGACTTAGTCTTTTTGGTCATTATGGTTTTATTTAATTGTAAAATTATCTCCTGGACAAAATTGTCAGTGGTGCAGCACCATTGCTTACAGTGGAATAAGTTATGAGAACTCCAGTGAGAAAGTTATAAGAACAAGTCTTGTTTTTTCTACTCTGCTCCTATTTTATTGAATAACATGGAGCTGCAAAGGTAAGCTCTGAAGGGAGCAAATGATTTAAGAGCAGTGATGGAACAAGATGCACATCATTGTTGCACAGAACCAGCAGGCAGGCCCAGAGGTTTCTTGGGGTTAAGACTGAACTGAAGGGGTTTGACTTGCTTCTCTCCAGTCAAAATGGTGGCATCTGGGACATGGTAGGAAATGGCAGCGTTTTCAGTCATACCTTCTCTGTTAAATATAGCCTGCAGGCAGATGAGGAGAAACTAGCATCCTAAGAAGGTAAACACGAAGTCAAACGTGTTGGATAGTGACACCGAGTTGTTCCTCTTTCTCCTTACAGGAAGGCATTGGCTTTGGCTGGAGGTTTGTGAAGGAGGTAATTGCCTCAACAGACAGTAACCTCACAAGGAGCCTCCTCCTGCTCTTGGAATGTTTCTTTCAGCCTTTCATTCCCATTGAGGCAGGATTTTGCTACCTCTATCACCATATTATGCCTGTCACTCTTCAGGGCATTGTGCCATGCACAGAGTTAGTCACCAGAGAATGAAGTGTTGGTTATTACACCAGAGAATGAGGTGTTGGTGCAGAAAGGTCATGCTGTGGCTCACGTACATGGCAGAAGGTAATACAACATCCTGCAAAACACAGGTAAACCTGGAAGGATTATGCTTTGCCCACTGAAAGAGCAAAAGATAAGCTCCATGCCTACCAGGCTGGAGGGAAGACGTTCACTTTTATTTATAGCAGAGGGAATTGGAGAAGGAGTGGAAAGCAGAGATCAGAGCTAAGCAGTGATGCACTTCAGACTGCAGATCTTTGGAGAATTAGTATTGCAGAAGGCTGGATGATTTTCAAATTAAAACCCAAAGACTAAATTCTTCTCCTAGCTCCTGTTGAGTGACATTAGTTCAGCAAGGGGAGTCTCTCAAGTACACTAATGAAACAGCAAGTTCTAATCCACAGAATACATTAACAAGGCCTGTGAAAAACTGGCTAGCAAAACTTACATAGAAGCTGGAAGAATTACAAGCACTTTAAGAGGAGGCTGGGGTTTGTGTAACTTAACCAGGCCTGAGAATTTTACTTTTGCTCTTCTCTGATTCTCAGGGAATTAGGACAATTCCCCAGGAGAAGACAGCTCATATCAAAGAGCTGATTGAACCCTGGTTTATATTTGCCTTGATCTGGAGTGTGGGTGCTACTGGAGATTCCCAAGGTTACATGGCCTTCAGCTTGTGGCTGAGGGAGAAGATGGCAAAGGAAAAGGTGAGTAAAGGAAAAACGGATCCTCTCTCATTATAGAGAAACTGGTAATGAGGAATGGGGGTCAGAGCTTGTTGAGTGCCCAGAGGCTTTGTATGGACTTGCTCTTGGGATCTGGTGTACCACATCTGCCTCAAACTTCAAGGGATCCTTGGAGCTTGAAGATCTGGGAGAGAGGCCTGAGCCACACTGGTCTGGGCAGCATCCCATTAGTAAAGTGTTCCTTGCAGTAGTGCACATCCTTCTCTGAACTCAGCCACGTTCACCAGCAGCTTTACTCTCACATATCCAGTTACTTTTCCCAGAAGAAGGACTGGTTTATGACTATAAACTGAAGGATGCGGGGCTCAGCAGTCCTGAAGATGATCTGGATGAGGAGGTCATTAGGGAGGGCAAATATTTCACTTACAACTTCAAACCAAGAAATTGTGAGGGAGGGACTAGAAAGTGACACAGTCCTGCAGGATTTGGTGGGATTGGTCATCAAGGGCAAACAAGGAAGGCCTATAGGAACCAAGTGGGAGTGTTTAAAGTTAAATCAAGCTTTTCATTAAAGGAAGAAGGCAATTTCTTGCCCTCAGGGTTGTGAGATTTGAGCCAAGCACTGATCAGTTCAGACCTGAGTGTCTCTGCCAGTGGTCAGGAAAGCGTGAGGGCTCTGCAAGTGTGGCCACTGGAGGAGGACAAGGAGAAGCTCAGATGAAGAGGTTGGTTGGTGTTAGAAAGCAGTGCACAACAGCAGAAAAGCTGTGTGCGGTGGGTCTGGAGGAGGAGCAAGGCAGACCCACATGCCATCTTTTTGACCGGAGGCAGCAGAGGAGCGGGGCATGCAGGGCCCATCTGATTGACAGTCACCACCCTCTGGGCTGGAAAAAAAACCCACAGGAAAAATAAGGGAGGAAAAATGCTTCCCCCTCCTGAAATCAAAGCAAAGCAAAGAGCCTTACATGAGTATCGGATGTGTAGCAGAAGCTGTCAGTGTCGTCACTGTGGAAAGGCCACATGGGTGTCAGGAATGCGCGATTTCTCAGTGTTCTCCAGCACATCCCTGACAAAACCTCTGTCTCGCTTGGTTTGCCTGTGGCTCGACTCTAGCACATGTCTTGTGCAAGTACAAAACTTCCATGTGCCTTTGAATGCAACATGGATGATGGCACCGAATGTGAAGCTAGGATCCCAGCTGAGCCCTCGGTGGCACTCTGCCATGGGGCACTTACAGGGTGGGTCAGCTTAGGACAGAACTGCAATTTGTGCAAGTACTGCAAGTGCTCCGTCCTCCTTTGATCCCAGTTTTCAGAAGGGAGAGCAAGTATATTATTGCTGGGGCAATAACCTCTAACCTTTGGGCTATCTCCCTCCCACATGAAAGCAGTCAGAGCCTCACAGCACTGCCATACAGAAAGGTGAGGGTGACAAGACTAGACAGAGGGGCTGGAAGCCTGGATTCCTCATCAGAATCTGAGCTACTACGCAAGGAGCTGTGACAGGAAAAACACAGCAGATACAGTTTTCCTATAGAGGATAAATGCAACGGCCCCCTCTGAACGCACCCATACCTTTCAGGTGTGCTGGGAGAAGTGGCTGGACCCAACAGCAGAGTTCATCATGGTTCCTGATACCAACTTCTGTGACATTATTGTGCCCATAACGAACACAGTCCGAACGGCCCATCTGCTGAAGCTGTTGCTCATCAACTATAAGCCAGTATGTGCCCAGCCTTATCTTTGATTTTTAGAGTTATCCTTGTTCTCATCAACAGCTACCTCATACTTTGGAGATTATTTCCCGCTCCCATGGATTTGTGTTTCTCTGCTCAAAAGCTGTGCCTAAGCAACAAGAGCTCTCCATTGAGCCTCCAGGCACCATGCCAGCACTGCAAAGGAATGTCAACACTCAGGCGTTCAATCAAAATGCAGCAATTGCTAGATTGCTCCCCATCAAATTCTAGCCCATCAAATTCTACCTGTTTCCTAGAGTTCCATTTCCTACTTCTCTGATTGGATTCCTTCCACACCAGGGGATCTGTTGAACGGCTGTCAGGAGCAAGCCTTCTGTCTTCTCCCAGGCTTTGAATGCCTAAGGGAGCAGTAACTGCGTTTCCTCCAGCAAATGCCAGAGAGCTGAGAAACACAGTCTGTATACCTGTGGTTATGCTGCTGATTGTGTTTCTAAGTTCTCTGCATTGGTCCCACTGGCACAGGGAAGACTCACAATTACAGACAAGCTTTTGAAGAACTTGCCTCTCAGATACATTACCCACTTCCCGATGTTTTTGCCACGTACCTCTGCTAACCAAACTCAAGATCTCATTGACAGTGAACTGGGTAAGAGGCAGGTTTCCTTCCTGTGTTTGCAAAGGCAGCATCCCTGAGCTCAGTGTTTCTATCAACTTAGCCATTTAGTTTCATCCTGAGACCTGAAGGGGCCCCAAGCACACAGCAAATCTGAGCTGGGATTGTGAGAGCTCCTAATAACTCGATACATTTGCAATGAAGTGAGAAGGATTAGTGAGGGTCTGGAAAAATTGCTCCAATTCTGGGTATTCCAGAAATACTCCGTTTCACAGCACAGGTGTTTGCAAACCTTGGTGTGGGATATTTATAGGAACTGATGAGATGAGAGCACTTGGTTGCTGACCCCAATCCCACTCCCCATGGTAAACAGCTTCCCTTTTTCCTCCATGGTCAGCCACTGGTTTGAAGTTTCCAACAGCACTGACATTCATTGACACTGTGCATAAGGAGGCAAAGTTTCACTCATGTTTGGAAAAAAGCCAATGCCCCAACTCTTGCACCAGACCTTTTCTGTGCATGCACCCATATAAAGAGTTATATGGAGTGAAAGTGTAGAGAGCTGCAACTACTGCCCCAGGAAGCCTCTGGAGAAAAAACTGCTTTTGGGTCAAGCTAAAAGTACCTTTGCAATAGGAATAGTCCTGTGTCCTTACAGAGTTTTGTCCTTGCAGGCACAAGGGTGTGTTTGGGCCTCCAGTTGGGCGGTACCTCATATTTTTTATTGATGACTTGAACATGGCCATGCTGGACACATACAGTGCTCAGGCACCCATCGAGCTGCTGCAGCAGTGGAAGGAGCACCGGGGCTGGTATGACGGGAATCAGATCAGTATGACTCAGATCCTTTGCCATCTTGGCAGAAGTTGGCCTGTTGATGGATATGCTGATAGATAAGATGATCAGGGGCCGGAGCACCTCCTGTATGAAGACAGGCTGAGAAAGTTGGGGCTGTTCAGCCTGGAGAAGAGAAGGCTGCATGGAGACCTCAGAGCAGCTTCCAGTATCTGAAGGGGGCCTATAGGGATGCTGGGGAGGGACTCTTCATTAGGGACTGTAGTGACAGGACAAGGGGTAACGGGTTCAAACTGAAACAGGGGAAGTTTAGACTGGATATAAGGAGGAAATTCTTTCCTGTGAGGGTGGTGAGGCACTGGAATGGGTTGCCCAGGGAGGTTGTGAATGCTCCATCCCTGGCAGTGTTCAAGGCCAGGTTGGACAGAGCCTTGGGTGAGATGGTTTAGTGTGAGGTGTCCCTGCCCATGGCAGGGGGCTTGGAACTGGATGATCGTAAGGTCCTTTCCAACCCTGACTATTCTATGATTCTATGCATACCCACTGTGGAGATTTGTGATGAGGGTTTCGGGCTACAACTTCACATTCATTTCTAATTTTGCACTCTTCAAGGTGCTTTTAAGAAGCTGGTAGATATTAATTTGGTCTGTGCTATGGGGCCTCCTGGAGGTGGAAAGAATGCTGTCACTCCATGCCTCACTCCCCGTTTCAGCTACCTCTCCTTCACTGGAATGGAGGACAGCAGCAAGAAGGCCATCTTCTCCACCACCCTTGGCAGCTGGATTGGGTAAGTTCTGCCAGCAGCTGCCACCTTCTCCTCATGTTGCAAGTCAACCTGATAATAATGGAGGTTGGAAGGGGAGGAATTGGTATTGATGATCTGATCAAAGTGTTGGAAGCTGGAATTTGCATTCATTGCTTGAAGATGCTTTTGGGAAAGTGGTGTTTGAATCTTAGCGAACAGAGAAGCTCATACAGTTTAGTCTCAGGGTCAAACTCTGCTGGTGCCAATCAGCAAACTTCGGCTTTGTCTTTCGCAGGTTCATAAGAAATCCTATGGTCTAGGCCTTTCAGCTAGGATTCTGTGATGGATGATGGAGATATCCTTCACCTCAGCAGGTAAAGCTGTGACTCGTGTATTCTGTCTTTTTCTAGATGGACTCCTAGGAGAAAAAAGTTACAAAGATCCAGTGCATAAGTAAGAGAAGACAGAGAGAGAGAGGGAGACTGTGAACAGAACAAGCTGATGGGCACAGCATGGCATAGCTTACCTGTGCTTTCAGCAGACAGACACTCGCCCAGACAACAGCCTTCTGTGGAAGCAGAGCCTTCTGTTACTTTCCATCTGCTGCAGCCTGTGGAGAGCTGGGCAGGGTGGATCCAAGCATGGTGCTACAGCCACCCAGAAAAAAAAAGGGCTCCTTTGGAGCGTAGCGAGTCCTCGTATATTTGACAGGGTGGAATTTAGGATCATCTTTGCAAATGTGCCCTCACCTGCAAATATGCCAATAGGAAGGAGTAAGAATAGTGAGCTATGGAAGAAGCAAAGCAAGGCTTTCTGTGTGCTTGCAATATTTACAAGCATCAGTACCTGACTGTGAGCTTGGGGCACACTGAAGCACCTGACTGTGATTTAAAAATAAATTAAAGACTTTTGGAAAGAGTTGGAAAGCGCAAAGTGCTGGGGTGTCACAGAGCTCTGCTTCCCCCCTCTGCTTGTAATAAACTTAACTGGGAGAGAAACGCAAAAAACAGTATTTTATGCACTAAAACTGGCAGCTGTGCTTAAATCTTGCCAGACCGTTGCATAAGAAATTATTCCTCAGTGGCTCTGCATTTGCTGATCTCAGTAAATTGCCAGGCACTTTAGTAAGAGGGCACTCAGCCCTTCTAGCTTAAAAGTAGCTGAGACTCCACTCTGGGAGTATAAAGAGAGAGAAGGAAAACCTCTCAGGAATGGTTCAGGTAAGCACCAATTACCGGTCTGGCAGTGCCTCCTCTCTCCCTGGGGTGCATGAAGTCTTAACCCCACAGAACTGTTGTGATGCATTCTTCCCTCTCCAGATCTGATTCTTTTTGGTCAGAAAACTCATTGGCAAACTGTCCACTGCCGTGAGCAGGTGCTTAGTCGGGTCCCCCCATAGTCTCTGCATAAGAAAGCAGAAAAGTGTGCTCCTGGCAAAGTCCCAGCAACACCTCTGCAACCCAGTCCCACCTGTCTGCGCTGCCAGGACCTTCTCAACCCATAGTCACCACCTTTATATCCTCTCCACCTTCCTCCGTCTCTGCAGCAGGAGCACTTGCAGTGAAAGACCTGAACAAGCCCTTGGTTGATGCAACTACTGGCATGTATTTGACTGTCACATCCCAGCTCCTGCCCACACCAGCCAAGTCACTTTACACTTTCAACCTGAGAGACCTCTCCAAGGTGTTCCAGGCCATGCTCATGGCTGAGCCCAGCACCATCCAGGTGAGCCCTCCAATCAGCATAGTCATGCCACCCAGGGGAATACCAGAAATGTTCCAGTGTAAGGAACTCATTGGTGAGCCTACAAAGAGGCCTCAGTTTCCTGCTGGAACTGTGTTTGTTACTGTTCAACGAATGTGGTAACCTTCCCTTTGGCTATATTGCCTAGCACCAGTAGTACACAGACATCCCCCCCACCGCTGCAGCCCTTCCTTGGCATGGAAGCAGGTGAGTGGCCACAGGGAGTCGGTATGATATAGCTTGGAAATTCAGGGCTGGATGGAGCCATAGGGGACCAGACAGGGGCAGAGGTTTGTCCTGTTACTAGCCCGTAGCAATGGAGGCTTCTGCCCCTTCAGCTCTCCTAGGACCTTGCTCTGGCTCCAGCCTGGTCAGTAGAGGTGACTTATGACAGGAAGTTCTTGGGACCCTGGTTCTGTGCTACAGCTGAAAAAAAGATCTTTAAAACCAACCAAAAAAAAAAACCAACCAAAAAAAACCAAACCCAAAAAACCCCACAGGCATTTCTGAAAACAGTAAAAATTAAATCAAACTGAGGGAAAGATAAGGACAAACAACATGAAATTTTAATCTGAGAGAAAGCCTGACATGGACAAATAGAGGGGGGATTAGCTGAAGCTGTAACGAGCTCCCTGCAAAGCAGCTGTTTTGACAAGAGCTGATTTTGAGAGGAGAAGGGAATGCAGCTTCCTCTGCCTAGTTCTGTCTCCACTCCAGCTGCCTTCTAGCAGGAGCAGAGATGGCCACGTGCCAAGCAGGAACCAGCTTTCCTGACAGTGAGGCTCTTAATACTTCTCTGCTTCTCCCATCGGGCTGTTTGCTGGGGTTTCTTACCAGGACAAACTGCAGCTGCTGAAACTGTGGTACCTTGAGAGCTGCCGGGTGTTCTGTGATCGCCTGGTCAGCAAGGAGGACCGCACGTGGTTCAACCACCTGGTGAAGAGTATGATGGAGGAGTTAGGCACCACTTTTGAGGAGGTCATCCCCTCCCAGCCAGTTCTGTTTGGGGACTTCATGGATCCAGATGCCCATATCAAACTACAAAGCAATTGATGGCCAGGAAAAGGTAGGAACCGTGGGAATCATTATGATGTGATCTATGTTTGCATCTTCCGTGTCTTCTGCAAACAAATGAAAACAGTTAATAGTAACCATGGGGCTGCTTGAATTGGAGGTGTCTGGAACCACAAAGGCTCCCAGGGCTCTCCTGTGAAATCCTACCCCAGATACGTATAGTGGCTGCATTTGGTGTGATGGGAACTTGAGGTGGAACAAGTTGTCTCTGTGTTGCCATCCTGGGGGCAGCCTGCTGTGCCAGGTCTCCCAAATGACCTGCACTTGGGACTGAAAAGTGAAATTTGCTGGAAAGAAATGGCACATTACTCCCAAACAATACTACTTTTGCAATTAAAGACTTCACAATTGACCTTTACAAATAATTACTGTTACTGCCAGATTCCCTCTTGGAGAAGATACTGTGAGTACTTTGGTAATAATAATTAAGCAAAAGCAATGAGCAGTGTGTTTTGCACTCATTAGCAGAAACATGATTATCCTGTTGTCTCTGCTCTTGTGATAGTTGTGTGACAGGCACTGGTAATCAACTGAGCTTTCCAATCTCTTTTGCAAAGTAGCTAGGTCTGTCCCCCACTGAGGTGAGCGCAGCTGAGACAGCCAGACTTTCCAAGCTGCTGCACGTTCCACTCATAGGTGTAAGACTGGCATCTAGGCAGGGATCTCAGCACTGTCTAAATTCCAGCTGATGTCACTTGCCCAGGTTCACAGTGAGCCTGCTGAAGGGGTAGGACCAAATCCCAGATGTCTTCATGCTTCATCGCCTGTTCTGGCTTGAGGCTGTTGTTGAAGAGAGCCCTGGGAAGGGCAGGAGAGACTGATCCTGCAGCTATTTCTGTGCAATGGCAGGACCAGGAGAGGAGTGTGCTTCTCTACTCACCTGTACCCAGTAGTGTTTTCTTCCAGCACTTGCCCTTTCCATCTAGGATCCAAACCACAGGATGCAGCAGCAGGCAGTGGTCAGCTATCGAGTGAGGAAGCTCTCCCATAGGGAGGCCCTGGAACAGCACGAGTCAGGCAGCCATAAGCTATTTTATTTTGAACTCTGCCTTGCTATTTCTCCAAGCAAAGGGCACTGTTGGGAACAGCAGCCCTCAGTCACCTGCCTGAGTTAGTTTAAGGTCACCTTTCAGCAGCTGCTGCCACCACCTCTGGCTAAATTCAGCTCAGCCCAATGGCAGTTGCTATAGGAGCATGAAGCAAAGAGAGCCATCACCTCCCCACAGGCAGCTACTCACAGACCCTGCTGAGCACCAGGATCTGCTCTCCCAGAGGCCTGTCTGTGCTCACGACCACCCATCCCCTCTCCACTGGTTTTATCTGGTAGCCACAATTGACTCTTTCTGCCCACAGCTGAAAGCTGTGATTGAGGCTTACCTGGAGGAGTACAATCAAGTCAACACCCCAGAGCTGAAGCTTGTGCTCTTCATGGATGCGATACAGCACATCTGCCAGATCAGCCGGATTCTGCAGCAGGTTCCAGGGGATGCTCTCCTTCTGGGTTTTGGAGGAAGTGGGAGACAGTCTCTCACCAGGCTGGCATCTCACATGTAAGTAATGCGTTCCTATGCACATAATGTGGAGCAGCTCTGTCAGGGCTGCCTCTGGAGAATCTCTTTTTCCTGCCCTTCCTGCTACTGGTTACACATTTTTCTGGTTGCTGACTTTTCAGATTTAACACTTAAGAGCTAGGGCTCAGTTAACATGCCACATCCACAACAGAAAAACTGGACTCTTTTGCCTCCTAGTAGCTTGGGTTGTTGTTGCAGGCATGCAGTGAATGAGCAAAAGCAGCACGGTCCATGTCAGCTCACTGGTCTGTGCAGCACTCGGGGATAGACAGGGGCTTCTTCCTGGGAGCTGAGCAGTAGAAAGACAAAGACAGGAGCTACTAGTGACCAAGTGGTACTGGCAGCTTGTCAAGTAGGACTGGTGAGTCTTGGGAGTCAAGGGGCCTTAAGTGGAAAAGGGAATGAGGCTGAGGAAGAAAATTCTTCCAGCTCTGTAGACAGGGTGTGATCCTAGAGGAATGCAACCACAGTTCCCAGGTGCACCAGCCTCTGAGGGAAGCATCCCAAAAAAAAGCCAGCCATGTTGAGTTGTGCCCTCTCTACTCTGAGGCACTGGGCACAAGAAGCAGCGTGACTCTTAGGTCATGGAGTTGTACTTCTCCTGGTTTCTAGCTAGCTTGGGTATCTCTGGCTTGAGTGAAACATGCTCTTGAGTTGGTGGCTCAACATGCACAGGGACAGGCGTGTGCTCTGGATGTTGCAGGAGAACAATTTGCTTGAGTCTGCTCCCCCTGAATCCACAAGGCATGCTCAAGAGTGACAAGAGGAGATTTTAATTTGCTGTAACTCCACAGGCTTCTCTTTCCTTTAGGGCAGATTACGAGTGTTTCCAGATTGAACTGACCAAAAATGATGGCATGACTGAATGGCGAGGTGATGTGAAGAAGATCATGATGAAGGCAGGCACTGGGAATCTACCCAAGCCCTTCCTGTTCGTAGACAGGTACAGGAGTATTAGCATAGTGGACTCCATCTCAAAAGGAGTCAGAAACACATCTTGAAGGTCAATAAATCCCCCTAAAAAGGATTGAGGAGCCTGATACAAACCAAGCACAACTTGTTTTTCTTCAGTAGCCTACCTTCATCATCTTACAGAAAAGCCCCAGGGAAACTGAAGGTGGTGCATATGTTGCTAGAGGTACTGAAGAGCTGTGTGGGAGCGGGCTGATTCTTCTGTTGCTCAAGGAAGCTTCCTTCAGCTCCATCCAAGTGTTTGATAGGATCAAAGATTTTAGAGCCAGCTGCCTGAAGCTAAGCACTATTCTGACCATTGATACTAGAAGTCCTAAGTAACATCATTCTCTTTCTTTACAAAAATAGCAGTAAATTCAGGGCCTTAAACCTGCTGGTTCCACAGGATAACATTAGCTTGTTACTGTAAACTATAACTTGCTAATGACTAGGCCAAGTTCTGGAATTCATGGTTATGTTCCTCATAGGGTTTTTTACTGCCTTCATTGTTACTGGAACCAAGTCCCTTCTGGCAGTGCCCTAAACAGTGAGATAGATGAGCATCTGTCATGCTGCTTATTCTTGCATCCTTTTCCCTGCAGTGAGAAGCATATATGGGAGAAGAAGGGCACGAGAGGGTGCATTTAGTCAAGTAGAAGGATGCTGTGTATTTCTGATTTAGCAGAAGTGGAGAAGTGAGTGTAGCTCTGGAGGAAGATAGTCCCACAGACTGTGACACATCCCTACAATTACTGTCTCCCACATCAGCAGCTTCACTAACTGTGAAGTGTTCTCTGCTGGAGGAGCAAAGATCCAGGGCACCATGGGACCTGGGGTCTGATTGCAGTCACTGGCAAGGCAGGGGGCAAGGCCCTGAGCTCAGTTTGTCTGTATAGAAACACTAAAGGGGAAGTAGAAGGTTTGTTCTCAGACCCCTCGCCCCTGAGGTGGCTGAACATGGCTTTCTATGGGAAACAAAGCTCAGAGGATGCCTTACTGGAGCTGGGTGATCACAGAATTGATTTCTTTCACCAGAGGCCCATGGCTGTATTTATCCAGAAGTCATCTCCATGGTGTGTGGAGACAGGATTGTCCTAGGAAACTGCTTTTTTCCTTTTTTTTCCCTCTATCATCTACTTAGATTAAAAATGAATCCTGCCTTGAGGATGTCAACAACCTGCTCAACTCGGGTGACATTCCCAGCATTTACAGCCTCCATGACAAAGAACAGATCATGACAGAGATGAAGCCCATTGTTTGGGATCTAGGGCAGCAGCCCACCAAGGCCAATCTGATGGCTGCATACACAGGACGGGTTCGCAGCAGTACCCACACAGTCGTGTGCATGAGGTACAGCGCAGGGGGAGGGCTCCATGCTGTCAGTGTTACTCCTTTCTTGTCCTTTGCCTTGCATCACTTTGTTATGGGACCTTTGTTTCCAGGCCCCTGACTTTGCTGGACTACAATTTGTGTATTATCTTCCCATAGGATACTGAATATGGTTTTTTACACTTGGCTGGTTTCAAGATGAAGTTTGAAAACTTTAAGAGTATGATTTCGTGTGATCCAGACTAAATGCAAGATTCCTCTTTGTTCGTGCACCATTGAGCTGTTTCTTACAAAGATATCTTGCTTGAATTTGGGGCTCAGTTGTACCATGTTTATTTGTGTATCTAGTGCACAGTCCCTGAGCAGCTTGCCTGCTTGCAGGAGGGCTGCCAGAAGGTACAGTGGTCTTCTTGGTGCAAACACAGGTGGAAGAATCAAGGCCATGATTTTGGTCTGACAGTGCAATCTCTGTGCTCACCTGCTTGAAATAGACTTCAGATCACATGTATTTCTTACCCCTTAAGTGTACTCCCTAGGGAAGGCCTGTAAAACAACACCTCACTACTATCGTAATGTTCACAGAATATACCCAGGACTTTCAAGGAGTGAGCTATGACATGCACCTTTGGACATGCACACGCAGTTCACTGCCTGAACTTTCATTCCCTATTTGCCTCTCTCCTTCTTCTTCCTTGGGTATATTCCCTTCCTTCTTACTCTGTAAGAGTCCAGGCTGACTTTAGGGAAGTAGAAAAGCTATTTTATCCTTGTATGTATAGCTAGTTATAACAGCTCATTTCTGCATGTGTCTTTCCCTCAGCCCTACTGGAGAAGTCTTCCGTGCATGCTTGAGACAGTTCCCCTCTCTTGTGAACTGCTGCACCATCAACTGGTTTAATAAGTGGCCTGCTGAGACCCTGCAGTCGTGGGCTCCTCCTTCTTGCTTGAGATCCCACATCTTGGTGCCAGTATGGAAAATGTCAATGGGATGGTAGGTGCCACACTCAAAACAGCTCCTGTGCGCTCAGTGTGCCATGCCTCTGTATCCACACAGACAATGGGTGCAGGGCACACATGCGGAAAGGCCCCTACCCTGTAGCAGAAATGCAGACACAGAACTGGTTAGCTTTTGTATGCCTTGACGTGCGCATGGCACTGAAGGCCTCACGCATACATAAGCCATGCTGTGATTCAAGCTCTTTGTAAGCCCCTTGTGCTCTCTATGGACATCACATAGACTTGCCTACTACATGTTCAGTACTGAATGAGATTGTTTCTTTCCTTTCTCCTTGTAGAGTCAAGTACGTGTAGAAATTCATCAGAGCATGGCAAAGAAGTGCCAGGTGTACCTAGGAGAGCTGGCCAGACACAATTATGTCACTGCCAAGAGCTACCTCGAGTTCCTCATCATCTTCAGTTCCCTGATTGGAAAGAAGAAACAGGAACTGAATACAGCGAAGAAGAGGATGAAAGGTAGCCTGGACAAGGTTTGTCCCTTGCACCCAGGAGAACTTTGGACCCCCCTTACCTACTCTAAGCAGTGTATTTGTAGTTGCAGAGACACGTCCTACGCATCTCCTGTTCAACAGAACGCTGATGCTAAATCAAATGAGAGCTATGCCTTCTGCCACAGCCAGTCTTTCTGAAGGTCTGAGTCTGTAACAGCCATAAAAGAGCGATGATCCCCGGTCTTCGAGGACACAGACCTTTCTGTAGCTCATCTTCTCGCAGGATGTTCCTTATTAAAGCCCTATAACAGCAACATTGTTCTGCTGACTGATTGCCCTGAGCTTGCGAAGTAACGGCCATCGTGTGCGGGCGCCATTAGGCGCTACTGTTTGCAAGTACACCACAGCGACAGACTGGTACTGAAGCAGGGACCGGGGCCAGACCTGCTTTGTACAACGTGGCCCTGGGCAAGGAGCCCCCCCCAGGACAGCGCAGCCTTTCCCCGGCGCTCGTCGGGGCTGCTGCCTCTGCTCTTGCTCTCGCTGCTCCCTGAGCTCCTGCGAGCGGCAGCCGCGGCAGCGAAGCTGCGGGAGAAGCTGGAGTCCTTCCGCCCCCTCCTGGCGCCGGCCGCCGAGGACACCCTGGCATCCATGGCTCCAGCGCAGGTACCGCTGCTGGGCCGCCCTGCGCTGTGCAAGTGCGGCTGCTCGGACTGCACACAGGAGCTGGGGAGGCCTTGCATGGGTCATTTGAGCTGTCAGGAAAAAGGCCTTTGATCAGCACAGCAGAGCTGCACTGCCAGTGGGAACGGCCTTCTGCTGGAGTCCCTGCTCTGGTGGTGCTGGGGCCAGTCACAACCTACCGGCCAGTTGCTAGCAGAAGTGATGGCTCACATGCCCCTCCCTGAAATCACTCCCCATGGGTCAGTCAGCCAAGCCACCAGCTCCTTTTCCTCACTGGTTTACATCCTTGCACACACAGAGTAGCAGCACTACTAACACGATCCTCAGGTGGCCAGAGAAGCTCTAAGCTCAGATTGTTGTGGCTGAAAGGGATCCTTCCCATCACCAGGGAGCTGATTCAGCTGCAGCCTGCCCCTGCTAGCCCAAACCTCAGGGGTCACTACACACAGTCACTCATCCCACTGCAGAATGTCCTATGCTGGCTGTCCGTATCTTCCCTCCTATTTGTGCTCCTGCCTGTGTCCTACTATGGGATGGCCAGACACAGGGAACAGAGCCACTAACATCATACAGCTCTGCATGCAAAGGGGAAGGAGCTTGCAATCTCCCATGCTCCCACATAGCAGATACGGATTTGGCTATATTCCACATTCCGTTTGCACCACTTGGTAGTGTTTTAACCCTGTGGGTAGGTAGAAATGACAAGTTTAGAAACAAAACCCTCAGCATATCTCCTTATTCCTCCATCTCCCTACATATTTGCATCCCTATGCATCCTCTCCCCTCACCAGTAGGGAAAAGGGGTAGAACAGCTAATTCCTGGAGGACTAACACCACACCAGGCACAGCTAGAGCTGCAGCTGCTGGATGGTCTCTACAGGCTGAGGAAATACCTGCTGCTGGTTTAATGTGGGAAGGGGATCCCCTCCAGCAGTTAGGCCCCACCATGCCTCTGCTGAACAACACGGGATCTACCAGGGTAGCTGTGATCCTTGCCTAGCAGTGCTGAGCCGAGCCAAGCCAAAGGGTGCTCTGGCTCCAGCATGCTGCTGAGGCTGTCTCTGGTGTTGCAGGTGGACACAGCAAGGAGTGGAAGAGACAAGGAGTGCTGTGCAGGCTGAGGAGATGGAGGCCAAAGCGAAAGCTCAGGCAGCCCAAGCCATTGCAGATGATGCTCAGAAGGACTTGGATGAAGCCCTCCCAGCCCTGGACACTGCTCTTGCCAGCCTGAGGAGCCTCAACAAAAGTGATGTTACTGAGGTAAGTGGGTTGAGGGGGGAGGGTGGCAGAGTTGCATCTGGTCCTTTGAAACTATTCCTCTTCTATAGGCTTGCAGCGTCTCCAGCTTTTTCCAACATATCCATCCATCCATCCACCCATCCATCTCACTGGGCTGACAGTATGGGCATCTGCCTGTGCAGCTTCTCAGGTTCACTCCTGAACCAAAGAGTTTTGAAGGGCAGAGAGGGAGCAACTGGCTCTTGGATGTTCCTAGGTGTCATTTCAATTGTGCCAGAGAAGTTGTTGAGGAGGGCTCACCCCATGGTGCCAGGCATCAGGCAGTACCACAATGCAACCCTGCACATTGGCGGCAGAGCACAAGGCCAGATCTAGCAGCAGACTGCCTGAACCAACAGGCTCTTTTGAAAGGAGATCAACTACAGGCAGAGAAGAGGAAGAGACCATGGCTCATGGGCTGACTTCAGGGAATAATGGCTTGGAATAGGATAGAGAAAAGAAGCTGATTCTGAGCCTGATGAATGTCATAGCTCATAGCCTAGAGAGCAAACTCAGCAAGTACAAGAGTTCACCACACAGGGACAAGCTTATGTATTGCTCTGCAACTGTGAATTACAGACCTTTTTATTCCCCACAAAACATACAGAACACCTCTCTCCCATTCCTCCCCTCCACTAGCAGCTCTGCCCTCGAGCCTTGGACCAGTATTCCCCAGCTTGCTGGTGGCACCCCCCACGGTGTCTTTGCACACTCTTGATAAGGGGCTTACTCTTTTTCCAGTGTTTCCCAGTCTAAGTCCATCTGTGTCCCAGCCTCCAGCGTGTTTCCTTCAGGCTGCTCTCCCTGTGCACTCGCTCCGTGAGCATCTGGAGCCTGGACACTCCCTGGTAGGACCTGCTGCATGAACCTCTCAGACATGTCAGTGGCCTGTTGTTCTAGATTCATATAAGGAGCAAGATCCACCTCGCAGAGCAGTGCCAGCATCAGGCCTTTCCCCATGTCCCCATGCCACTGTGCCAGGTGCTTTGCAGCCTTCCTGATCTGGCTAAGGATAGCGTGGATTTGGAAGATCTCTGCTTCCAGGTCCATCTAAGCCTTCCTTAAGTCGTCCTTCACTGCTTTCTCCTCCTCGTCCAAATACCTCAGCTTGCACTGCAGGCTGATTGCCCAAACCTGCAAGCTTGCTGTGCTGACAGAGTTGATGATCGCATTAGTTCTTCAGCTCCTGAAGCCCCACTCCGCCTGCCCCCTAGCACAGGAATGGGACAGGGGATCTCAGAGAGGGTCAATTGGACAGGACTCCCCAGTGCATGTGCAGCATGAGGGCTGCAGTGCCACCTTCTCACCCTTGCTTCCCCCATTACAGGCACGCTGTCAACAACAGGCCACTCCACCAACTACGACTGCTGTGGAGATCCCTACAGACAAGCCACAGAAGCACTGGATCAAATGGGGCACAGCGTTGATCTGTGCCCTGGACTTCTAGGCAGGAAACCACCTCAGCCTGAGTCATGGCCTCCGCTGTCCGGCACAGAGGAGGCAGCACAGCCAGGCAGCAGCCCCTCTCCTGCCCTCTGAGCTGTCAATAAATGGAGCTCAGCTCAATCAGCATCACATTCACCTGGTAGTGTTGCAATCCCCACAACTACCTCAAGGTTCTAGCACACAGAAGAGCAGTGCCCCCAGCCACAGACGCACCTCTCCCTTGGGTGGCTGTTACAGGATAGCTTTATTCTTTCAGGCAGATCCTTTTTTTACAGCACTCAATATTAGACACAGCAAGAGACAGAAGGATTTTCTTCCCTTCAACAAATACCAAAAGAACTGTTTCATTCCAGAGTCAAGATCTGTACTTGTAAAATTAAGTCCTCTCTGTGGCAGCTCCCCTCAGCCCAGCTGTACCTCAGGACACCTCCAGAGGTGCTGACCTCTGGCTGGCACAATCTCTGCATTGCAGTAACCAGCTGCCTCTCCCCATGCTCAAAGGCTTTGCCAAGGCCACCAAGGGACTCCACATGCAGCACCTGCCCCAGCACTGTGCCCAGCAGCACCAAAGCCACACCATGAACTTGGTTTGTTTATAATTCACAGGGTTTCTCTGAGGACAGGGCCTGGAGCCATCCTGGGTGACCCACAGAACTGGTTGCCAGGAGAGCAGCAATGGCAGCAGAGCCACACAGAGTGCTGGGGCCAAGGCCCAGCTCCAGGGATGAGCCCACCCCACCTCACCTGGCACCAGAGCTGCCCAGGGCGCAAGGAGCCAGGCTGCACTGGCAGGGGGGCTGTGTACCCAGAGTGCTGAGGGGACAGGGCAAGGCAGGACCAGCCTGGCTGCACATGGGCCAGCTCTGGGAATGGGGCAGGAGAATGGGCTCTGTCCAGGAGCCACCTTGCTCAGCAACGGCCAAAAGTGGGGGTCAGAATCAAAACTTTGGGGAAGGGAGGGAGAGGGTCAGAAAACGGAGACACAAATGTCCTGGGGAAGCAGGGAGCTGAAGGCCTGGACTGAGGACACAAGCCACAGCCCCTGTGGCCAGCTCAGGCTAGCAGTGGCATTGCTGGCATTCCCACAATGCCAGACCAGCCACTTCCCCTCCTGCCAGACCTCAGCCACGGCGCCGAGATGCAGGCCCAGGGCATGTGAGCTGCGTGCTCTGGCTGGCTGGTGGCTGCAGGGCCTCCCCTCAGGACTGTGTTTTCCTGCCCTTCACAACTCGGGCTCAGAGGAAAACCCGATTTCTCTCTGGCCCCAGGCTCCACCTCGGCTGAGGGCTTGTCGCTGTGGTCCCATTCCTTGGGCAGAGGGAATGTAGATCCAAGTGCCACTGCCCAAAGACACAAGGCCCAGCTGCTGCTTCTCCCAGTCCTGGCTCCCCAGCTACTGGCGCTTGGCTTTATAGGGGCGAGAGCGTTTCCGTCGGTCCGGCTTCCTCTGCTTGTGCAGGCGGCCGATGCTGACCCCCTGCCGCCGGCGCACGGAGATGTTCTGCTCCACCAGGCTTGCCAGCATGCCTGCAGGGGATAAGCACACACATGCCCGTGTTGGTACTGCCCACACTGGAGCACAGCCCTCCCTGTCCTACCCAAGCCCCATCAGTAGGCTCCTCCTGGGACTATCAAACCAAAGGACGCTGAGCAGAGAAACGTGGCTCCACAGACTGAGCTCTACCGCATGCCCCAGACCTGGCAGAAACAGGGAGCGGGGCAGGATGAGCTCCCCAGGCTCCCAGGTGCCACTTTGCCATGCTCAGTGCGGCTCCCTCAGCTGAATGCAAGCCCCATGCTCCATCCCCTCAGGCACAGAGCACAGCTCACCTTCCTGGGCCAGCATGGAGATGAAGGTACAGATGAACTCATCGTAGTTGTGGGTTCTCCTCTGGTCATCAATCTACAAAGAGATGACAAATCCACACATGGGTGTCAGGGAGGAAGAAGAGCTCAAGGCTAACGGGGACAAAGAATGGATGTGACAGGACCCACCTCCCAGGCCAAAGACACCAGAAGAGGATGACCACCTCCCCACCAGGTCAGGCCAATGCACAGCTGGGACTGTGTCCATCCCAGTTCAGGTGCCAGCATTTTCCACAAAGGACAGCTGGGAAGAGGTGACCATGGGCAGGGGAGGAATCCTGCCAGGCCCTGAAGCACAATCCCTGCTTCCTCCTGCCAATGCTGTGTCAAGCTGTGGCCCAGCTGCAGTGCTCCACCTACCTCAAGCTCATCAGTGCTGACCAGGGCCTTCAGTTTGTCCTGGCAGGAGCTCTGCCCCATAGGGTGGCTTGGTAATGGGAAAGGGTCCCACATGCTCCCCAGGGCCATTCTCAGCTGAACACTCTGCTTCCACTTTGGCTTAACAACCCATATTGAGCCTTCAGGGAGCTAAACTGGCAACACAAACAGGCCATTGACACACACCTTGAACTTCTTCCTCTTCTCCACCTCTTCCTTCAGGCAGGCCTCATAGTTCGCAATCTCTGCCTCCACACACTTCAGCAGTGCCAGCAGCTCCTGCCAGGACCAAGCAGAGCAAATGTCAGCAGCCAGAGCCCTGCTGCAGCCCAGGAGCCAGCGGAGTGAGCTGGCAGATGTTCCTCTCTGCACTGGGAAAGGGAGAATTCATCAAAACCAAAAAATACTTGCGAGGGAAGGGGAAGAAACCACAGACCAGCTCATTGTAGTGAGTTTCTGAGTCAGGGTGCTCAATCAGCCTGCACTGAGGCTGCAAACTTCCCTTTTGAGTAAAAGTTTCTCGCCAGCTCTCCTCCAGGGCGCCCCTGGTGCACTTGTGCTGCCCGAGCTCTGAGCTGGAGGGCACAGACAAGCAGCGAAGTTCCCAGCAGGCTGGGCCCTGGGGGTGCAGGGTCCCTCTGGCCCGAAGGAGAGCACAGCACCCCGGACATCTCGGCTGCAGGAGGCAGCGGCTCTGCCCACTTGCTGAGGGAAACATCCCCATGGTGACACAAGGCACAGAACCTGCTCTGCCCTGCACCTCGAGGCGCGGCTGCGGCGACGCGAGCGGGACAGCGTGCACATGCGGTTCAGTCACTGCCAGCGCTGCTGCGGCTCCATGTCCCCAGGGCTGCCGCAGCACAAAACTCACCTTGGGAGAATACTTTTCCCCCCCAGGGTGATCACTGGTCCTGCCAAGTCCCACCTTCTCTTTGCTGTCACTGGCCTCACTGCCCTCCTTCTCGTCCAGTTTGATTGTGATCGGGGCCTCATCACCAGGTTTGATGGAAGCTGGGGAGCTTTTCCCCCCGTCTGCACACAGGGGAAGGAAGCGTTAGGAGCTACGGCAAAGGACCGGTATCCACTCCTGAAGTCAAAGGACAGCGTCCAGTCACCCCAGGGGAGATGCCACCACCCCCAAAGCTGGCAGGCACCTACCTGCGACAGCCAGCGGGCAGAACACGCCGTCCTCCGTGAGGTGCAGCAGCCCAGTGCTGATGACAGGCCCCAGGTCTCTGACGGCACGGTTGTAGCGCATGCAGTCGACCCGCAGCAGCCCATCCTCCTCACCAAAGAGCACCTTGGAGATGTGGGAGGTGACGGGGCTGGAGGGGCGCGTGGGGTTGGCTGAGCGGATGGGGGACCGCAGCGGGGAGTTGAAGGCGCTGCCGATCTCGGAGGCCGTGTCTGTGCTCTCGTTGCTGGGGGTCGGAGAGGGCTGGGAGTGGGTGACCACCGCCACAGCAGTACCCCCGCCGGTCGTCTTGATGGACAGGGGAATGGAAAGATCCTTCTGAGACTCTTTCAGCTTCTCAGCCAGGACGTTGATGGTGTTGGGCTGGAGGACGGAGAGCTGGCCATCCACAGCCCCTGCCATGTGCTCCTGCTTCACCTGCCCTTTCCTTTTGTACCTGCCCACGAACACAGGAGGGAAGGTGAGTACCTGGTGGAAGGAGGCCCAGCACAGCCACTGCCAGCTTCACACTCATCAGTATTCACTGTCTCCTGGCATGAAGCAAGGCAAGAAATACTTCTTGGTTGCCCCCACTGCCGCTTGCTTCTCTGGCAGCACTTCAAAACTGAACCCCTCTGCTGTGGGCACCCCTACACAGCTGGAACACACCTCTACTCTTCCTCCACAAGCCCCCAAAGCACCCTCGCTGTGACCCCATTTCCTGACCTTCACAGCAGTTCAAGCACACCAACACTCACCAGGAACAAATCTGGCAGTCTGGACTGGGGAACAGAGGTTCCTCAAAGCCTGCTGCCAATAAACAGCTATAGATAGAGCAGCCAAAATTCACTCTTGATAGTGAAGAACTGCAGAAGAGGTTCACAAAATCCAGCAGTAACACAGCAGGTGGAAAGAAAAGCCCCAGTTGCACACACAGGCACAGGCTCTACACAACTATCAGCTCTCAGAGATCTGGGAGTCACCACTGGCAGTTCAGCTCCCTGCCCTCAGCTCAGTCACCTGATGGCTGAGTTGGCGTTACGAACTTCCTCCTCGTCATCATCATCATAGTCATCCTCATCGTCAGAGTACTGCTGGTGCTGTCGGACTGGGACCCGGCTGCGACCCACCCCTGCTGCAAGGTCCTCCTCCTCCTGCAAAACACCATTGCTGATGGCCTGCTGGCAGCGGGGGAAGGGGGAAGAGCCCAGCAGACATGTCCTTGGTCCAGCCAAACACCAGAGCCTGCCCTTTTCAAGAGGAGACAGGGGACTCTTCCCTTGCTTCTCAGCTGACCCCCATTGATACTAACATCTTCTGTCAGGTCAGTCCTTATTTGCCCTCTCACTTCCCAGTCTGGGTTAGTGCAAGGGCAGGCAGGCTGCAAGGCAGGGGAAGGGCTTAAACCAGTCAAGAGCCACAGCCCCCCAGAGGTGAGGGACTGGGAGCAAAAAGTTCAGCTCAAGTCAGGCGCTATTGGCCTGGAGCTGCAGCCTACCTGCATGGGGGACTTGGCATAGTTGTGGTTGTCCAGGAAGGCTGGCAACCTCTGCACGATGGGGTTGGGGTTTCCTGGAGGTGCCCCATTGATGCTGCTTGCTGATGTCTTTGCCACTGGTTTGGATTTGGTGGGTGGGCTCTGCATGGCCGCAAGGTGGCCCTGGGTGGCAGGCTCATCGGTGCCATCTGCCACACAAACACAGCACAGCCTTTCATGACCAGCACCATCACCTTTTACTCCATGTCCTCTGCCACCCCTTGCCCACTGCAAAGAAGAGCTCTTATACTCCATCAGACCCACTTCCCATTCCACTTCCAGCTGTCACCTGTGTCCCCAAGCTTAAGCCCTCCCATTTCCAAACTCCACGTCCCTACAATTCTCCTACCAAGCACAGAGGCATCTACCACACCCCAGCACCGTGTGCATGGAGCTGGGCATGGAGAAAAGAAAGCAAAGCTGACCATAAAACTGCCTCAAGCTCCAGGTCAAGACAGCCACTGTCACACCACAGCAGGCCAGGCTGGCTGGCAACAACACTGACGGGGGTTGTACCTGTATGGGTGCTCTCTAGGGTCACAGTCTTGCTGCTGGCTGGCTTCACCTCTTCAGGAGGCTGAGAGTCCTGAGACTTCTGAGTCTGGATCAGCTCAGGCTGAGTTACTCGGATAAGCTTGAAGGCAAATGACAGATGGAAACTGAGCACTGGCCGGGGGTGACCCAAGCCACATCCCTCCCATTCAAGCTCTGCAGAACTCATGAGGGTGTGCACTACCGATGGACAATGCCATGGATAATCTCCCAGGTGATCAGCCGAAGGCCGGGCATTGAGGCTGGCTATCTCCTCTTCCCAGAAGACATTTCCCAAGGACAAAAACCAAACCAAAATCTAGGGGCCCCCACAGCACGTGGAGATGCCCTGGAAACAGAACCTATTCCCACCTCAGGCTCACACTCCCTTAGGGTTTGGGCTGTCCTACCTGCTGCAAGGCCTCCAGCACAGTCTGGCGGTTCATCTTCAGGATGTGGAGTTTGGACTCGTACTTCATCCTCCGATCAGGCACCACGGCCATCAGGTTGAAGCGGATGTCGTGGTAGGGCTCCCTGCAGGAAGGGACAGTAGACATCAGTCTGGCTCCCAGCAACAGCTCCTGCCACCTCCTTCCAGGCAGCACCTCCCCTGCCCTGGCCTCTAATGCCATCACACAGGAGGCTTTTCCCCCAAAGTTAAGTTAACCTCACTCTGACTGAAGAAGCAGAGCAAGGTTGCTTCAGCCATAACACAAAGCACCCTTCACAGGTTGGAAGGGGCGTGTGGAATTCATCTGCTCCAACCCCTGCTCCAGCTGGAGCTGGTTGTCCATGACCACATCCACATGGCCTTTGAGTATCTCCAAGGACAGAGACTCTAGAACCTCCCTGGCTACCCTCAAGACCAAGCATCCAAGAGGTACAGCTCAGCACCAGTAGCACCATTCCTTCTCCTACGGACTTTAGTTTACAGGGACCTCATCTGACCACTCACATCCATTTGCATGGACTCTGCATCACACGAAGCGTATAGCTTCTCCACATACTCTGAAGGCAGTCAAATTGCAAGCAAGAGAAGGCAAAGAGGCAGTACACCTGCACCTCTCCCAGGCAAAACTCTCCACCCCCATTTGCACAACTTGTTGCACAGAGACCACAGTAGAAACAATCCAGGGAAAAATGGGCCAGTGCGTGCACCATGGCCCGGGACCTTACCCTGCAGTGGCCAGGCCGATGCGCTCCATGATTACTCTCCTGGCTTTGTCCGTCCATTCCTCATCATCAGCCCATGGCCCTGTGAGAACAAGAAAGAGCTGGACTCAACAAGGCAGAGCCAGGCTCCTGCTGCCAACACGCAGAGCAGATCTTGCCATCCACACCACAGGCAATCCAACAGCTCCCTTATGTACCAGCACGCAAGTCAAGAGGAGCCTGGGTGGCAGAAGCACCACACTCTCAGCCCATATGTGGAACCTCCTGCCTCTGCCTTCCAAATGGAAACATGAGCTATCTGCAGGGCAGAAAAGCAAATTCTGAACCCTGCCGACCACAAGTGGCTCACAGGCTTGGGCTCCCAAAGTCCAAGGAAATCCCTGCTCCTGCTGGGATCCACCTGCCACTGGATCTGGTGCTATGATTAAGTAATCCAAGCACATCAAGTGGGTACCTTACCAAAGGGCCTGACAGACAGAAGTAAATTCCTAGCAGTAACAAGTTGTGTCTGGAAGACAGATCTGAGTAGTCAAGTCGTAAATAAACAAAGTATCCAGAGCAGCCTGCTGGGATCTGCAGTGGGACCTTGTGCATCAACACACAGCAGTTATTTGGCACATGAAGAGATCAAGGAGGAGACAGATTCTTGCAATACAGAGTTATGTCAGAGCTGCAGAAGGACCCTGCAGAAGGACCCCTGGGGAGGATAATGGCAAGGCTGGAAAACGCAATGCAATGCATTTAGAAATTGTCTAAACAGTCCCCAGCACAGAGGCTCCAAAGTGAGCTGCAGAAACTCAGGACAAAGCCATTGGAGTGATTCTCCACAAACACCATAACACATACATCTGGACAAACCAGGGTGTCTGTTCAACTGTAGGGACAGGCAGGCTCTTACCGTGGTCAATGGGATAGACCTTCAGCCCATCCAGCTCAAACAGCCGTCCCTTGATGGGGACATAACTGACAAAGTGAAAAGCCTCCATGGTTCGCACAGCGCTGATTCCATTCTGCTTCTCTGGCAAGTGCCGTGGCTCCGGCCTGCGAGGGCACGAGAGGCAAGAGGTGAGCGGGGAGCCTGCTTCCTTCAGCAGCAGTCAGCTGGAGATCCCCCCTCACTCACCTGGCATGGCTGTTGTGGGCCTTGGCCAGCTCTGGAGCATTGCCGATGGCATAGCCTTTGCTCTGCAGCGACAGCAAGGAAAACAACTGAGAAGTAATAGGAAATGAACAAAATGCTTCACCCAGTGGCTCCCCAGTCCCTCCCTCCCAGGACTGGGAGAGCAGCTTTCAGGCACTCCCTCTGCTCTGCTGAGGTGAAACCCAAGATAAAAAGAACAGACAATTTCTGCTAAAGGAATGAGAGTCAGAAACACAGACTTCAAGATATGTCTGAAGGTAGGAGAGAGGAACTTCGATCCCAGACTTAGAGAATGCACCTAGGCTAGGGAAGAACACAACACAAAGCTCAGAGCTGGGCCCAGTGTGAGGGGACCAAGGCCCTGCACAAGGCAAAGCAGGAAGATGGGAGAGAAGAGGCAATAGTGATGTAGTGTGGAGCCAAAGGGCTGGAAAGGAGCCAGTCCATTAGAGCATCAACCCAAGGGGAGCAAGAGGCAGATTCCCATGTGCTCCTCGTGCACATCCCTGCCCCTACCTCAGGGCTAAATCCTTTGGTGAAATCCTTCATGCGGCTCAGCGTGGGGCCCAGGTCAACATTGTTGCAGTTCAGGAGGACACTCAGCAGGGCATGGGTGGCACAGGAATTGGGGATCAGCTGGAGGGTGACACAAGGACCTTCTTAACCAGCAGGAACAAGGCAACTCTTCAACAACCCCCAGTGTTGACAATAATCAACTGAAAAGTACTGGCACAAGTACCACTTGTGAGAGCAGTGACCTGACCTGGGCTCTCAAAGGACAGGAGGGTAGTCTTGTTTAGAGGGTTCACCATGCCCCATGAGCTCACAGCCCTCCCTGGAGTCCCTCCAACCTAGAGCTCAGGGCAGAGACTCTCAGGAAAGAGGAGCTGCCCTCAGCACCACATCGCTTCCCTGAGGTGTCGCATGAGACACCCACATGCTTCCCCTTGGCTCCAGCCTACCTGGTGAGCAAAGAACATGTTATTAACGATGTCATCGTCGATCACCGATGTCTCATCCACCAGGGTAGAGACCTTGCGGCGTGACCTGCGCTCCTCAATCCACTTGAACAGGAAGATGAACCCATAGACAGGGCTGTGGAGAGAAGTCAGCAGCTGTATCGTTTTGGATGAACCACAACCAGTGGGGCTGCACTGCCCAGCACCAGCAACCTTCGATGTCAAACTACAGCAGAGCAAAGACAGAGAGGAAAAGAGAACCACCAGCCCCATCTTTCTGCAGTGACACATTCTGCTTAATAAAACTCACGCTTTCACACCTGTGACTTACCCTTGGCATTTGCTCTGCAGATCATAAATCTCTTCAACCTGCACTCCCTTGACCCCTGCAAACAAAGAGCAGAAGCTAGTGTAAAACCCACCAGAATGGACACACCGTTAAACACAAAACTGACTTCCCAGGAACGTTTCTTGCACTCACCAAAATCTTCAACCAGGAGTGTGAAGAGACCTGGAAAGGAACAAACCCAATAGGTTACTTCTGACGGAAGAGAGCAGAAAGGAAACCTGCTGCTACTGGTCCACGAAGGTCCCATGTGGTGCCAGGCCAAGGTACAGTCAGAAGAACGCAGCAGAGCAACACCAGGATCATGCTAACCCCCAGGAGCAGACTCACCACAGTCCTGGCTCACCACAGAGCTGCTCTGGCTCACTTCAACCCTCCATCCCATGCATCATCCACTTCCTCGAGGGGACCTGAACAAACCCTCTCCTGCCAGAGGCCAAGGAAGCTGGACCCACCTTCAGCATCTGACCCACTGATGACCTGCCAAGAAATAACCCCCCACCACGAACAGCAGCAGGGAGCACCTAAATGACACACACAGTTCTAACTCATCTCCCCGTCTCCCAGGGGACCAAAAGCCTGCCTCCAGCAACGACAAAATTCCCATTACAAAAGGACATAACCAGGATACACACACAACAGCAAAGAGACCGAAGGATGATCAGACATCAGGAACTGAGCAGCAGCTTCCACTGCCATGCAAAGGCAGTCAGCCTAGTTTCCAGGCAGTTCCCCTGTTAGTGAGCTTAAGACTGGAATAATAAATCTGCTTCTTTTGCTGCCATACAAAGGCTGCTGAAAGCCTGGGAGAAAGTCTAAGGAATTATCAATAAGAAGGATTCAATCCTGAAAAACATCCCTGTAAGCAACGGATTTAAGGAACCTGTTGGAAGTTGCTCAGCCAAGAAGGGAAGAGCCAGAGGAGCTTCCACACCAAAGTTAAAATGACTAAAACAGGGAGGACACTTCTGGGAGCAAAAAACCAGAACTGACAGTGGGAAGAAATACCCTGTAGAAATGACATGCTTCAAACTGATGAGAGCCTCCTTGCTCTCATGATACCATGGAAGGCTGTGTTGTACAGGTGACATCTACAGAGACTTCAGGCAGCACCGCTGCCTTCTGTGCAGCAACCCACTTCAGGCAAGTGGTCCTTGCATTCCACAAGGGTCTTCAGATGCTCACTGCAGCCACGGCTTTTGTTCCCTCTTTAGCTGGAAGCAGGAGTCACAGCTGTTTACAGATAAGAGTCTTTCAAGTGTAAAAGCTTCTGCAAAGGTCAAAGGCCTCAGTCACTCTCCAGTTCCAACAGTTACAGTCAGTTGATGACAGCAAAACATGTGTGATGTGAGATGTGAACCACACCTCAAGCTCTGCCTCGCAGCCAGTGAAGATCTGCACCAGACCAAGGCCTTGTGGACACAAACAACACCACGTGCCAAAAGCAGCGCTGCTCCTGCAGGTACCACCAGAAGGAGATGACCAAGCATGACTTCCAAGCTCACCGTGGCCTGGAGCACTCCTATACCTCTACAGCAGTCCTCTAGGACTGTGTCTGACCAGCAGGACTGCACCGAAGGGTATGGGAACTCAGCTGTTGTGTGTTTCGCTCCAGTGTGAGCAACATCACTGGGCAGAGAGGAGGGAGCCAAACTCTGCTTTGGGCCAAAGACTTCAGGGGTCCCTTCCAACCATGTTTTCTCTCCAGTTCATTTCAGTATTTTGTATTATCTCAGCATCCCAAAAGGCATACTCCTGCTGCCATCCCTCCTGGAACACTCAGAATCCCCATCCCAAAGTATCTGGACTGCCTGGAGGAAACATTCTGGTGTTCACCAGCACAAGCAGCACTACACCAGCAGCCTGGAGGTTCCCAAGGCTGCCCTCTCCACCCAGCAGCCACAACAGACAGCCCAAATCTGGATCTACCAACCCTTCCTGATCGCTAAAGCACTGAGAGCTTCCAATCGCAAGCCCTGTGGCAGGGGCTGGTCAGCTTATGGGATGTGCTGAATGCTGAGAGCAGCACATGAGACATTCCTAACTGCTGTCCCAGCTGTCACGTCTGCATCCAAAGCTCCACAAATTTGAAGCATGCTGAGAGCTCACCTCTGCCCAGGCAGATATATTCCAAGCAAAGAACCTTCCCTCCCAGGTGGGAGAATTCAAACTGCATCCTGTCTTCAGCATGTGGTGAAGAAGGGGGAGGATGGGAATAACCTGGACAATTCACAGAGCTCCTGCAGCCCTGTTCACCCCATCCTTGTCCTCAGCCCGACATCCAACCTCCTGACACCCCTTTTCTGCCTATCCTACACCCCCATAACCTCCCCCTATGGGCTATGTCCTGTACACATCAACCCTGCACTCTCCCCCAGCACCCACTCCTCCTGCCCACTCCGGCGCTGCACCCCCTAATCCTGCCTCCACAACCCCCTCCACCCCACAGCCCCCTCCCAGGCCCCGGCTTGCCTCTCACAGCCCCAGGTCCAGGCTCCACCCCCGTCCCGTCCCCTCAGAGCCCCCCCCCCCCCCGAGCTGTCCATGCCCTCCTCTCGTCCCGGTGCCGGCCCCGGCACTCACCGGGGTCGCTCTCCAGCTCCAACCAGCCCTTATTCATCTTCCCGTGGGCCGGCCCGAGCCGCCATGTCCGGCCCCGACTCCCAGCCCGGCGCCTCGCCGCCCGCCCCGGTGCGTCATCGCTGCGCGACGCCGCTCAACGCCAGCGCCCCGCGCCACGTGTGTCCCGGGCCGGGGCGGGGCGGGGCGGGAGAGGTGGTGCCGGAGGGGCCCGGGGCGGGCCTGGGGCTGTGGAGCGGCGGCGGGGAGGCCTTGTGTTAGGGGGTGGGGGTGGGGATGGGCTTGTGTTAGGGGGTGGGGGTGGGGAGGGGGATGGGGACGGGGACGGCTTGTGTTAGCGGGATGGGGATGGGGATGGGAACTGGTGAGGCCGCACCTCAGATCAGATTCCTGCGATCACCTCTGGGCCCCTCGCTGCAAGAGAGAGAAGGGCGGAACGGTGGTGAAGGGCCTGGAGCAAAGTGTGATGGGGAACAGCTGAGGGAGCTTGGCGGGGTTAGTGTGGAGAAGAGAAGGCTCAGGGGGGACCTCTCTCTCTACGGCTACCTGAAAGGAGGCGGGGGTCTCTTCTCCCTAGTAACGAGTGACAGGACAAGAGGAAACGGCCTCAAGCTGCACCAGAGAAGGTTTAGACTGGATACGATAGAGCGGGTGCTCAGGCATTGGAACAGGCTGCCCAGGGCAGGGCTGGAGTCACCGTCCCTGGCGGTGTTCACATACTGTGCGGACGAGGCCCTCGGTGCCGTGGGTTAGTGGTGGACTTGGCAGCGCTGGGATAACGCTTGGACTTGATGATCCTGGAGGTCTTTCCCAGGCCGGTCCTTTCTGTGCCCCGCGCTGCGCTGCCAGGGCTCCCGGTGAGGTTGCGGCAGCAGCAGCAGCACCGTCACCCCCCGGGCATCTCCGCTGGTGCCGCCCCAGAGGCGCTCCCGGAGCGCGCCGGAGCCCCTGCACTGCACTTCCTTAGGAAGCGCGCTAAGAATAGGAACCGGATCCGCGGCTTTGTTCTGCGGCTGTTCCCACGCACACCCCGCCCCACAGCGCGCCCCTCGCCCCACTGGGGCAGCAGCGCCGAGGCACAGGTAGGGCTTGTGAGCCTCATGCAGTGGAGACCGGAGGCAGCAGCGCGGTACCTGCCTCCCAGGTTGTCTCTTTCCACCCCCTTGGAGTGTGTGAGTTGTGTTCATTCGGCCCCTGGAGGTTCCAGATTGCCTCTGTTAGCGGTTATCATGAGGCAAGGCTGGAATGTAAGGTGTGCAGAGCCGTGCCTGCGCCCCTGGCAAAGCCCTCCCACTTCAGCCTCACTGATGTAAGTCTGCCCCAGAGGGCCAGGCTGCAGCAGGGAGGGATGGAGATTCAGCAGGAGGGGCAGGCCCTTTCGGGACCGGTTTCTTCTGGTCCTCGTTCCCTCTCAGTTTGAAACATCGCTGGCCCCTGCATCACTTCCAGCCTTTGCAGCTCACCCCAGCGCCAGGTCCCGCACGCAGCAAAGGCCTCAGGACCCCCTCTCGCTGCCCCCCCGGGATGTGCAGCCCAGCCCCTGCTCTGCCTCTCGCTCAGAGACAACGGAGCGCAGGCATTTCAGTGGCGTGGCTCGTTGAAGCACGTGCAGAGCCATTAAATCTAGGCCCTGAGGAGTCAGACTTCTGTCTCTTATATCTGGCTATACACCCATGGCCCTCCATGTCTTTACTTGTTGCCTATAGTTCTCCTGTTCCCCCCCGACAGGCCTGTGATTAACCAGATCCATGTGCTTGGCTCCGGTCTGGCACGTAGATCAGTGCTACCGGCTCGGCTCTGCTCCCGTCCCTGCAGGACGTGTCCCAGCCCGCCAGCCCCACCACAGCGCTCCCACCCCAGGAGACACCCCATGCAGGCACTCCGAGGCTGCTGCAGAAGAGGGTCAGGACCCACAGCTCATCTCCACGGGTGCACCACGGACAAAGCAGCTCTGCTGGGGGACTTTGCTCCTGTCAAAGACACTGTGGCTCTGCTGCTGCAGCACAAACACACACACACGGAGGCAGGAGCGATGATGTCATGGCCTGGCTTTTTGTGAGCTATTTAGGGGGTTTAATTATTATTATTATTATTTTTCTTTCCCGTTCCTCTGCCTGTGAACAATGCCCGTCCCGGCAGGGCTGCGGTTCACACCATTGTGTGGGGCGGCCTTGCCTCAGGAAGGGGGAGATCTTTATCACCCCAGGCTGACCGGGTGAGAGGAGTGAGCTCACATCGGGTGAGGAAAGCAGGCGAGCACCTTGCCTGCAGCCTGGATGGTGCCTGCAGCCTGCGGGTGCTCTCCACACACCCACCCCCCAACCCTGCATCTGGGAGAGGCCCTGGGTGCTGGTCTAGCTCCATCAGCCCACCCAACCCAGCTTAGTCCCATCCAGGGCCACCAACCACCAGAAACACACCCGGACTGGGATGCAGCCCCCCAAATTGTGCTGGGGCCACCTTCTTCTGCATGTCCCTGCTCCCACCTGGGCACAGTGACAGTGGTGGCATTGGTGCTTCTCATGTTTACCCAGGAACGAGTTCAACCTGCCCACAGCCGTTTGCTTTCCCCTCTGGCCCTGCCCAGCCTTGAAACGGTCTGTGGCTGGAAGGGGAACAGAGGGGAAGGGGAAGCTGCACCCAGCCACAGCTGACTGTGTCCTGGTGTTGCTGGGAAGGCTGGAAGGTGCCTTGTCCACAGGATACACCCCCCCCACAGCTCTGGGAACCCGTGCACAACGAATGACAGGGCTCATCCTGGGCACGAAGGCTCTCTGGGGTGATGCTCAGTTTTCCTGCCACTGCAGGAGCAGGCATCATCTGTCCCAGGCCCAGAGCTGGCATGGAAAGAGCCTGGAGCCGACAGCTGCTCCCTGCAGTGCCACACTTGGGCCCTTTATTTGCAGAGAAAGCCAACCAGCAAGCTCCCTGGGTGACACAGGGACTGTGGTGGCACCGCATGCCCTGAGCCCCAACCCGCCCTGGTGTCCACAGCCCCACATCAGCCACAGCACCCAGCAAGAGCAGGGGATTGGCTAATACATCCCATCATGCCACCCATTTCGGGTGGCTCTGCAGCCACTGAGGGGACAGGGACCTGCCCAGGAGCTGGCCCCGCCACCCCATCCACTGTGGCCAGGAATACCGCCAGGGCAGGAGGACCCCGGGGCCGCCAGCAGCACGGGGAGCTGGTCCTCACCCGCAGCCACCCCACGTCCGTTACCCTGCCTTCTCTAAGCGGCCACTGCTTGTCGGGGCACGCGGCTCCTCTCGCCATGGGGTTTGGCCATCAGTCCCTTCTTGCCTGTGTCCACACCAGCCAGGGCGTGCTTGTCCTGGCCCACCTTGCCCTTGCGGTGGTAGGGGCGGCTGCCGCACCAGAAGCGGGTGCAGTACTCCTGCACCCGCCGCAGACTGTGGGAGCTGATGAGGTGCATGATGTCCTTGAACCAGGCTTTGGGAGCCTGTGGCGCCAGGCGGGGCTCGGGACAAGGCAGGTGTGGGGGCTCATCCCAGCGCTCCCGGGGGAAGGTGTGTGCCAGCTGCTCACTCGCAATCACCTCCAGAGCCATCTTGGCCACAGTCTGGGTGAAGCCGTGCTCCAGTGTCTTGCAGTAGTAGATGCCAGCGTCGTGCCGGTGCAGCTTGCGGAAGAGCAGCCCTTGCTCGGTCTGCAGGACCCGATCGTCCGTCTTCACCTGTTGGTGTTGGCCGGAGTGAGGTTGGGCAGTCCAGGTCCAGCCCTGTGTCCCCCCCCGTGTCCTCGTACAGGGAGCAAGGGAGGTGCGGGGGGAGCCTCACCTCATCCCGCTGCTCATCAGGGGGCCTCTGGACGAACCACTGGATGCTGGCCTGCGGGGACCGGGGCACACACTCCAGGAAGGTGCTGTTGTTCTCCGCCCCATAAAGCACCTTCTCCTCAACGCTCTCAAAATCATCCACTGGGGCAAAGAGAGACACGGGCTCACAGGGAGGGCAGTGCCAGGCTCCCACATCTGGATGTCAGCCACCCTGGACCCATGTGGCTCCAGTCCCCTTTTCCCCCTCTCCCTGGGCACAAAGCCCGGCAGCACCCACCCTTTCTTGGGGCACCCCTTGGTCTATGGGATGGGGAGATGAGGGTGCCCCAGCCCATGCCAAGGGCGGTGGGTTCTGGGACATCTCAGGGCACCTGGACAACCCCTGAGCCTGTGGGCCCCCGGTCTCTCACCGGTCAGGTTCTGGTCCAGACACCGGTGCACAGGGTTACTGTGGCGAGTACCCTGGCGGCGATAGCGGCGCTTGCCGGAGGGCTGGTACCGGGTGCAGGCGCTGCCGTCCCAGGTGCAGTAGGGATCCCTGGCCAGGCAGCACTCGGCACAGGCCGTGCCGTAGGTCTCGCACTGGTGCAGCTGTACCTGGGCCACCCCCAGGCTGGACCCCATGTAGAGCATTTGCTGGAAGAACAGCACCGAGATGGTGATGCTGACAGCCCCCACGGGCACAGCACCCAGGGTTCCCCACCAGGGCAAGCAACATGTGGGCTTTGAGGGGCTGGTGACAACAGCTCAGTCCCTCAGGTCACCTGCTCTGTCCCCAGCCCCGTGGCTGAGCTGTGTCTGTACTCACGCGCTTGACAGAGATCTCCATCTGGGTGATAGGCACGGGTGCCTGCAGGGGAGGAGAGCAGACGTCAGGCTGGCATAAACCTCACCAGGAAATGCCCGGCTCATGCAGCTTCTCCAGGTCTGTCACAGGGCACAGGAATGTGCCAGCCACGCTTTGCCCTTGCCCTGAGACCTCCCAGTGCCCAACAGTGTGGTGAGAGCCCTGAGCCCACGTGTGTCCCCAACCCAAGCAAGCTCCGCTGCCTCCCTCCCTTTCAAGTGGGGCAGCAAATGGCACCTTAAAAACCTGCAGCTCCTCGAGGACGATTTCCTCAGTCGTGGATGAGCTTGTCTTTTGCAGGACCACCACCTTCAGCACAGAGCCAGCATCTGTGGGGAGGACAGAGGTGTGAGCGCTCTGCCATCCCGCACCCCAGCAGCTTGCCCACCAGTAGCCCCAGCACCAAGGCTCCTTCCTGTGCGCTGCTCCTGCCCCTCACCTGTCCCAAGGAAGAGGACGTCGTGCTGCCCAT